CTGACCCACAGATGTTTGCTATAATAATGGCTTATAATTGAAATGGTTCCCATGTCACAACTGCCTGCCTTGCACACTGCTCCATTCATTCCAAGCCCTCCTGTCTGGACTCCCCTGACTAGAAAGCCTTTTAGGGATGCTTCATTCCATGTATTTATTCAATCATTCATCTGCGTTTTGATTTCTGTTTTAGAGAGCTTACTCTTTTCTGAGGACAGTAAACGCGAAGACTGAGGTCCTGGCACTGGCGGGATGTGGCTGACAGATGGCATTTGCTCTCCCTCTGAGCTGCCTTCACTCAACACAGAGCTGGCTTTGTTCTATGCCACTCAGGGCACCATACGCTACCATCATCAGTTCCTTGAGAACTACAATCTGCTCGCCTGTGGATGTGAGTCTTTTCAGAGTCATGGTCAGATGAACTACTTTGCACACAAAGAGCTGGGCCTGGTGGTGTCCACTGTGATCCGAGCACTTGGGGAGGTAGAAGGAGAATTTGGAATTCAAGGCCAGCCTGGGCTACATGATGTTCTGTCTCAACAAATAGCATTCATTCTGGCCTCTCTAGGTTTACTTTTCATCCTGTTGTGGCCTGTGTCAGGAGCACCTCTTCCCACCCTATCTCCATGCCCTAGTGCCCTAGCTTTTTCCCTATGTTCCTCCTAGCCCATCCCATTTCTTTGTATCACCTGCAGACCTACGGAAGTACTTTCTACCAAGACCCCAGAGCCACCCACTTGCCTAGGATCCAATGGGGCACAGCAATCAAAGAACAGAATAGCCCCCAAACAAAGACAAGACAAAATATCCATACCAAAAAGCACCTTACATGGCATATCTCCACAAGGTCCTAGTGTAAACCACAAACTCGAATAGTCAAGACAATATGCCTCCTCTAGAAGCCAGGAATCCCACCACACCAGGCTCTGAGACAAGAGTTAGCTGAAGTACAAGACAAGAACTTCAAAATGGCTACAATGAGTATTTCAAGAACCTCAAGAGAATATGAATAATGTCTCAATGAAGACCACAAAAACAAATAATTGAGTCAAATAATGAAAACATTTCAAGATATAAAAATAGAAAATCACTAAAGAAAACCCAAGCTAAAATAAAACTGGAAATGAAAAGCTTAGAATATCAAACAAATACCTCAGGATAGCCTCACCAACAGATAGTAAGACATGGGAAGAGAAAAATCTCAGGTGCTGAAGATGAAGGTAGAAGAAATGGATAACTTGGTCAAAGAAAACCATTAAACAAACAAACAAACAAAACCCCCAAAACCCAGGCACAAAACAAGGAAATCTGGGACACTATGAAAAAACACTAAACCTGTGAATAATATGGATAGAGGAAGAAGAAAAAAAAACCCAGGTCAAAGGCACAGAAAACATTTTTAATAAAATCACAGAAGATAATGTCCCCATTAGCCCAGGTGTAGTGGTTCATGCCTTTACAGACCAGCTTGGTCTACATAGTGAGTTCCAGGATGATCAGGGCTATGCTATGTGGAGATATGCTCTTTCAAAAAACCAAGGGTGGGGGGATGAATGTCCCCAATCTAAAGGAGATGCCTATCAAGGTACAAGAAGCATACAGAACACCAAGTAGGACCAGAAAAGAAATTCTCCATGATACATAATAATAAAAACACTAAATGTACAGAACAAGAAATAATATTAAAAGGTACAAGGGGAAAAGACCAAGTAACATAAATAAAGGCAGGCCCCTTAAAATAATATCTGATTTTTCTCCCCCCCCCGCACCCCCCCCCCACTCTACAGGGCTTCTTTTGTGTAGCCCTGGCTGTCCTGGAACACATTCTGTAGATCAGGCTGGCTTCAAACTCACAGAGATCCGCCTGCCTCTGTCTCCTGAGTACTGGGATTAAAGGTGTGCACCACCACTGCCCAGCAATACCTGATTTTTCAATGGAGAGTCTGAAAGCCAGAAGGGCCTAGATGCATGTTCTACAAGCTCAGAGACCACAGATGCCAGCCCAGACTACTATACTGAGGAAAACTGTCAATCACAATTGATAGAGAGACAGAAACATTCCATGATGCAGCTTTACGGAAGGTACTAGAAGGAAAAACTTCAGTCTGAAGAGGTTAACTACACCCAAGAAGACAAAAGGAACATAATCACAGAACAGTACATCGAAAGGGGGAAAATCCTAAAACCATAACAAAACACAAATCAATAAACACTACCCATAACTGTTAATAGCCTCAATTTCACAATAAAAAGACTCAGACTAACAGACTGCTGCATCCAAGAAACAAACACATCTCACCATCAAGGACAGATTTCATCTCAGGGTAAAAGGATGGAAAAAAGCAGTGGACCCAAGAAGCAAGCTGGCATAGCCATTTTAATATGGGACAAAATAGACTTCAAACCAAAACTAATCAGAAGAGATAGGGAAGGACACTACAGTCTCACCAAAGAAAAAAAATCCACTAAGGGGATATCATAATTCTAAACATTTATGCACTAAGCACAAGGGCACCCAAGTTCATAAACACCACTATAGCTCAAATCGCATATTGACCCACACAAACTGATCAGCGTGTCACCTCAATACTGTGGCCAACAGTCAGGTCATCAAGACAAAAACTAAGCAAAGAAATGACGGTGTTCACATCCTAAATCAAGGGACCTAACAGATATCTACAGACCATTCCACCCACACAGTAAAAAATCTACTTTCTTCTCCGCAGCTCATGGAACTTTCTCCAAAACTGATCACATAATAGGACACAAAGCAAATCTCAAAAATATAAGGAAATTTAAATAACATCCTGTATCTATGTTAAGATTAAAGCTGGGGTATCAACAGCAACAGCAGAAAAGTATACAAACTCACGGAAAATGAGCCTAGTCTAACTGATTAATTCAGAGCAACAACCCTTTCTCAAAAGACATGGCAACATTCTTGGGGATAATGGCTGAGACTTCCTCATGCACACACACTCTTCCTCCCGCCTTTCTCCAGGGCAGATGGGTGAGAAGCCATGTCTGAGCAACTGGATGCTTACAGTTAAGGGAGGCAGCAGGACCAAGGTTGCTGCACTGCAGGGTCAAGCTGTCCAGGCAATCTTAAGACTCATGATCCTCCTGTCTCCACTTCCCAAATGTTCTACCATACCTGACAACTACCTCTCACATGCTTCCTAACAGAAGCCACTGACGGGAGAACTGTTTTTATTTTTCTACTACTTGGTCCTTGGGAACTTATTTTTAAAGTATTTTTAAACTTCTGTTGTAAGTTTTACAACCTGCATGACTTCTAACAGCTAGCTGGTTCCTGGAAGATATCACCATTTTACAATAGGAACTCAACACAGAAATGACAAAAACCACTTTATTTTTCCCTACTTAAGTTTTAAAATAAAATGCCTTAAAAATAAAAAAAGAAAGAAAGGAAAGGAAGAAGACAAGGTCTCACTGTGGCCCTTAAATTAAATTAAGGCTGGCCCTTAAATCACAGAGATTTCCTGCCTCTGCCTCTGGAATGCTGGGATTAAAGGTGTGTGGTAACACACCTTGCTAAGGTAAATTTTTTGTTGTTGTTTTTGTTTTTCGAGACAGGGTTTCTCTGTAGCTTTGGAGGCTGTCCTGGAACTAGCTCTTGTCGACCAGGCTAGCCTCTAATTCACAGAGATTCGCCTGCCTCTGCCTCCCAAGTGCTGGGATTAAAGGCGTGCGCCACTACCGCCTGGCAAAATAAAATATCTTATGAAACACATTTAGCAGTATCATTTACCTTGGAATGTCAGCAATATTTTGCTTACACATATGGGAAGCCAGGTCAGAGACCAGTACACTTTCTTCATGGTCCTTCAATGTGTAAATTTTTTGTTTTATTTTAACAAACAGCAATGTAATTCAAAACTTTTATGTTTCCTATATTTACCTAAACTTCAGTCCTCTATTAGCAGTTAGAAAAGTAAAAACCTTACAAACTTTGCAGTGTTGAGTTCATGGTACTACACATAGCACCACACATCTCTTCAACACGGATTGTTTTTAGAACGACTGCAAAAACAACTTTCTGGTTTAATTTGAAAGGACTGAGACTTGAAATCTAGTAATTAAGTCAATGTACAAATCAATTATTTAATTTTTACTTGTCTTGGGAGAACTAATTCCCATTGCCAGTAACAAATGCCTTTTAAATATTAATGGATATGTTACAATATTTACAAACATTCTTACATACTCTGACCTCATGGTCTGTGGGACCAATGGAACTGGTGCTCATATCTAGAGGGGTCAAGAGGGACAACATCCAGATGTGTTCAGGATATGCACTGGACTCTGGGGTCGGCCAGAAACATCTGCTGAACTAAAGCAGTACGCAGCAGGAAAGCAGGGTGAGTGGCCGCACGCGTGGTTCCCGGAGGGCAGGAAGCTGATTACTGGCAGCCAGGACTGACAAGCAAGCTACGCACAAGCCGAGCCAGCTCTGGAGTGCTTAGCCAATGGGATCCTAGCTTAACGGGTGCTGGGGGAGGGGCGTCTGTCTTGTAGACAAGGTAGAGCTAAACACACATTTATTTTGGTGTTCCTCAAACAACAGTAATTTTATTCTACCAGCTCAACCTTGTCGTGCCATTTTTTCCCACCACTCTTCGCAGGTTGTTTCACTGAGCATGGCATACACGTGAACTCTTTTCACACACTTGGTAAATCCCATTAATGTGCTGAAAGATTTACATCCTGATGCTCTAGGAAAAGTGTTCACGATGCCCAAATTACTATGCACAGCACCATAAGCCTGAAGGAATGAAGTCATGGCCATGAGATTTACTAGGTCATTGATTTGGGAATGTGAATGGGACTCAGTGTCTCATGTGGGAAGTCACACACTAATTAGTCACTGCTTTACAGAAGCAGGTCACCCTACATGCATGCTTATACACCTACACAGGTACCTTCTTCCTTGCTCCCTTCCAGGAGGTCATTCCCCCTCCCCTTTTCTTTTTTTTTTAAAAGAATTTATGCCTGGGGCCAGAGCGTGTAAAGTTCAAGTGGTCTCAGGGAAAACTATATAACTGGGATTCACACAATGCAAGTTTTATAGCTCTTAAACAATAGTCTTAAAACAGCTGGAATGCAGTTGGTGAGGGTCTTCTGGTGGCCCACTTCTACATGCAGTACAGAGGAACTACTAACATGCATGACTTTAGACAACTGGTAAAGTTTATTTTGTTTTAAGTAATTTAAAGCCATTTACTAAACTATAAATTTCAATGCATTAGAAATGACTACGGGAGCATTTCTGAGGTGTCGCTGTCAATTTAATGTAGAAATGTTATTTTACCTTGATGTTGGTATGAAATGCAATTGTCATGCCCTTTATTAAATGGAGCTGCCATCGGTTTGGTGACCATGAGAGCGTTTTTAATAGCTTTTAGGAATTACTGTGCATGTGCCTTAACTGATTTTCAGGAATGACTGTGCATGTGCCTTAACTGATTTTCCAAACGTTAGTGGCAATCTGATTGCCTGGCTATTTCTAAGCATATGGGAACGAGGGACAGACAATGGCTTGAGTCACAGGAACTGACACTACCTGCCAACGGCCCTTGCTCAGACGCTCAGGAGCATTCACAAGACAACTAGTGCAAAAGCATCCAAAAATTATGCATGGCAGCAGGTTCATTTTCTTGAAGTTTAAAAGAGTCAGGATTTTTCTTTTAAAATTCATTTATAAAAATAATCTTCAGTTTGAGTCTCAGGTACCAAACTGTGGTTAATTGAGTCATGATGGCCACGCTATGAAGTTATGGAAAATGTTGCTGAAACCGTCTGAGCTGCGGCTCCTTTCTGTGGCACCCTCTGCAGCCACGCCTGTCACAGTTCACCAACACACTAAGCTGCTTGACAAAATTTTAGTCTTCTTTTTTCCTCAAACATCCACAAAATTTTAATTCTTAAATGTGTATTATAAAACTATTCAGAACCTAACACATTCACAACAGGGAATGGAGGCCTGTTAGCAGCTCGGGAGACACTGAGGCATGATAGCTGGGCAGACCCAGCAACTCACAGAAGTGGCCACTTGTATGGCTCACTTGGATGTTCTGCGCTGGATGCAGCCAGAGCCCCAAAGGAGGAGAGTATGAGCAAGGCCTTCTAGGTTTGTGCTGTGAGAGAACAGCCACCCTGGCCCACCCCAGGGAGCCGGAGTGTGGCAGGGCTTTGGACCATTATGTACATGGATAGGAACACTGTCAAGTTGAATGCCAATATGACTTACTGCTTAGAACTGTGCTAACATCAACACTCTGTCAGACCGACTTCACACACAAGAAGCTTTTTGCCTTAGTCAGGAAATTATCTGAAGAACATCGAGGAGCGGAACTAAGGAAGTGTTTGGCTTCCCTATTCACACACACAATCAAGTTTTAGGCTTTCTGAGTGCAAAAGAACAACTGGCTGACCTGCCTCGTACCATCAACCCATATGAACACAGCCTTGTGTCGGTGCCACAAGGTGCAGCACAGCCTGACCTGTTGCGGATGGAGCCTGCTAAGGAAAACCCCTGGGAAGAGTCCTGCAGCATGGCTGCGCCGAGGCTGCCCTGGACACAAACGCAAGGGGAAGGCACAGGGCTCAGATCTCATTGATAGTCCTTTCGGAGGGGCAGTACTCCGAGGGGCCCGCTGAGGACATGTAGAAAGACTGTGTCTTCCTTTTCAACCGGGCTCTTTTGTTGGCCAACACCAGGCTACGCCGGCTTGAGCTGATGATTTCGGAGATGAACTTTTTGCAGTCTACACACACCTCCATTGTACTCCAATCCTCCATCAATTCTTTGGGAAACTGGAGTTCTTCATCTGATTTGTCCACCGACCTTGATTTTGAGGAAAACCTGTGGGAGAAAACTAAAAATATTTACCATTCTTTTTTTTTCTTTTTGTTTTTTTTTTGGTTTTTTGGAGACAGGGTTTCTCTGTAGCTTTGGAGGCTGTCCTGGAACTAGCTCTTGTAGACCAGGCTGGCCTTGAACTCACAGAGATCCGCCTGCCTCTGCCTCCCGAGTGCTGGGATTAAAGGCGTGCGCCACCACCGCCCAGCTTCATATTTACCATTCTTAATAGTTCAACTGCAATATTAAGAATAGGTAAGAGAGCCAGGCAGTGGTGGCGCACACCTTTAATCTCAGCACTAGGAAGGCAGAGGCAGGCATCTCTGAGTTCAAGGTCAGCCTGGTCTGCAGAGTCAGTTCCTGAACAGCCAGGGCTATATAATGAGTCCCTGTCTCAAGAAAAAGAAGAAAAAGAAGGAAGAAGGAGGAAGAAAAGGGGGGAAGAGGAGGAGGAAAAGGAAGACAAAGAAAGAAAAAATAATGATAATAACATCAATAGCAATAGTAATACTGTGGGGTGGGTGGAGCTGGAGTGATGGCTCAGGGGTTAAGAGCACTGGTTATTCTACTGGAGGACCTCAACCTAATTCCTAGAACCCATATGAAACTCTAGATGGATGGGATCTGAAGCCCTCTTCTGGGCTCCACAGGTACCAGGCTCACAAGTGGCTGACAGACTTACATGCAAGAAGACACCCATATGCATAAAATAATAAAGTAATTAAAAACAATAGAAGCAATACTGGAGCTGGAAGACGGGTGGCTCAGCAAGTAAAACCTCGTGCCCTGCAAAGGTGAAGACAGGAGTTATCCAGCACCCATGCAAAAGCCACGTGGGCATGGGGGTTTGCCTGTAACCCTAGTACTCAGGAGGCAGAGTCAGAAGACCCTGCAGCAAGTGGTCAGAGGGAGTTCCAAGTTCAGATCCAGTCTCAACATATGAGATGGAAAGGGATGTCAGCTTCTGGCCTTTAAATGTACATTGTGTACCCACAAACGCGCAAACACATACATAAACGCTCAAAACCAAAACAAAGCCAACAGCAAAATTCAATACTGTGACTTAGCTGCTCAATAGTTGAATACTTGCCCAGCATGTGAAGGCCCTGGTTCAACCCCAGTAACACAACAAACAAATAAGAAACAAAGAGAATGAGATCACTGAAAATTCTCTTCTCTTGTAGAATTTTAGGAAAATAGGGTGTCCAGATATTTCTTGATTACCGCACATCATGGACTATGTTTTTTTCTTTTTTCTTTTTCTTGAACTTCCAAGGCAAAGTTTCTCTATTTAACAGTCCTGGCTGTCCTGGAACCTGCTCTGTAGACCAGGCTGGCCTTGAACTCACAGAGATCCACCTGCCTCTGCTTCCCAAGAGCTGGGTTTAAAGGAGTGAGCCACCACTGCCTAGCATGGATTACGGTTTTAAACATCTAAATGAAATACAAATATGTGTGGCTAACATTCTACCGAACTACTGATTCATAGTCTTTTTCCAAGGTCCAGTGTTCTACATCACTACCAATGAACTTTAGTGGATGGTGGATAGTAATGGGTCGGACTATAGAAGCAGAAGTAATTGATGAGTCTGATCCTGAAAAAACACCTCACCACTCTTCTTCTGTTATCCTCTTTTGTTCCGATGCTCACACATCCCCAACAATTCTGTTTGAGTGCTTGGCTAGGTGGGGCCAGGGAGCTGAATTATAACCATAATGCTTCCAAGACTGTTTGCGGTAACTGCAGATTATCTAACTCACTACTGTGTCAACTAACTACTTTCCAAAGGGGAAAGCGAAAGGAAGACACGGTAGATACAAATGCCCTGGCAACTGATGGCTGTCCTGGCCTTGTCCCTGGCCCTTCAGTGCTTCCCATGGTCAGCCACCCAAGTCCCAGGAGAGCAGGGCTCAGGGCTTCATGGGCCCAGGTTAAAAACTATGTACACGGCTTTTTCAAACTTTATTTAATTTTATGTATGAGTACTCTGCATGTACACCTATGTGTCAGAAGAGGGCATCAGATCCCGTTGCAGATGGTCATGAGCTACCATGTGGGTGCTGGGAATTGAACTCAGGACCTCTGAAAGGGCAGCCGGTGGTCTTAACCGCTGAGCCATCTCTCCAGCCCCTGCACACGGCTTTCTAACCCCACAGTCTAGAGCCAAGGATCTCTTGCCCTGCCAGCATGTGGCCTGGGGGGACCTTCCCTTTCTGTTAAGGACAATAGTGGCCTACCCTGTACTGAATGGTTTGAGGCTCAATTCTTGGCATAAAGCTTTATCTCTGCCTTTACAATAATAAACAAGTCACAGCTATAGCAGATGTTATAAACACAAGTGTCAATGGATTTTATTTTAAACTAGATAAGGAGGAAAGGAAGACTAGACAAGACTGAAAAAACAAGGACAATGTGTTTTGTAGTTGTTTTTATAGATAGCATCTCACTATGCAGCTGCGGATGAAATGGAATTTATTTTTTTAGATTTATTTTTATTTTATGTGTATGAGTGTTTTGCCTACATGTATGCTTGTAGTGCCTGTACAGTCTAGAACAGAGCACCAGAACCCCAAGACCTGGAATTGCAGTCGTAAGGCCTTATGTGGGTGCTGGGCACTGAACTCACTTTCTCTGCAAGAGTGGTAAGTGCTCTTGGTTAATGACCCACCTCTCCAACCCCAATGACTTTCTAATCTGGATCACAGGCATGGCCCACATAGCCTAAAAGTCAATTTTAAAGATGATCTTTTAAAGACATAAAAGTTATTTTCAAATATAATTAAACAAAACTATGCTAAAATATCTCCCCCATCCCAAGACAGGGTTTATGTGCGTAACAGTTCTGGCTGTCCTGAAACTCACGCTATAGACCAGGCTGACCTCATACTCACAGAGATCCGCCTGCCTCTGTCTCCCAAGTGCTGGATTAAATGTGTGCGCTACCACTGCCCGGCATTACAGTATCTTTTAAGTAACTAGGTATTATCAACTGAAAAGTACCGTTGGAGGAACTTTGGAGATTTGTGCAAGACTGAAATTGTATTAAAACCAAAGAACCAAGCTGGGTAGCGGTGGCACACACCTTTAATCCTAGCACTCGGGAGGCAGAGGCAGGCGGATCTCTGTGAGTTCGAAGCCAGCCTGGTCTACAAGTTCAAGGATAGGCTCTAAAAGCTACAGAGAAACCCTGTCTTGAAAAACCAAAACCCAAAACACCCGCCCCCCCCAAACCAAAGAACCAGCAACATGCCCTGAGCCAAACCCTAGTCCTGTCATAATCACCCCAACCCTATGTGCTATTTATTCAGAGGACACTCTTGAAGCTCCTGATCCCTGCTTACCTGGCTATACTCCGAAGTGGCCTATGGTGACCAGTGGAGGGTTTTTCCGACCTCGTACAACTTTCCCCCCTTTGCAAGGCAGAAGGTCCCAATGAGAAGATAGGTAGAGTGGAATATGGCTTGGAGGGCAGCCGCATCTGTTATCCCAAACAAAAGTGAGAATGAGCTCCAGGATGGGCACAGGGAGCAAACAGACACACTGGAAATTCCAGGAGTTAAGCTTACCTTTTTGCAACACTGTGAGCACACGGGCCTGTGTACAAAACAAGAAGTGTTACTTGGTGGACACAATGGGTGCAGTCAAAGCCAGAGCTTTTCCCCAGGTTCGACAATAGTTCAACCCACTCTTGAAGAAACTGCAGTGCCAAGTGGTAAGGCAGGCACAGAATAAAGCCACAGAATGGGTTCTTTTTAATACCTCTCTCGAGCGGGAAAAACAATGGAACAAAAGAACAACTGGCATTTCTGTGTGTCTGTTGGAACTCTACAGTGATAAAAGCCTTACCTCTTACAGAACTGACAGGTGTAAGACCACGTGAAGAAGGAAAACCTCCGGGTTCGGCAACAGAAGCAGAGCTAAAAAATACAAAGTTAAAAGGAGAAGAGAATGGGGTCAACCCTTCCTGGCTTCCGTGGCGGATCTGCTTCCCGCTCATCTGGGGGATATCTCAGGTATGTTTGCAGACAAGAGGACAAGAACCCAGAAACCTAGCTTTTATGCTTGGCTGTGACACATAAGCCGGTTTTATGTTTAATGACAGTTCTTTGAAAATAACAAAAACTCAGTGCTCAAGCATCTCATGGTCATGGGATCAATTCTGAGGGAAGGCACTTCTGCCTCAGACATGCTTTCTTTATTGATCCTTTAAAAGTGCAACACAAGTACACATGGCTTTAGGAAGCCGTATATTATCTCTTAGTGATGTGGGAGTGTCATAGATCAATCTGTTGATTTCATTGGTTAAGCAATAAAGAAACTGCTTGGCCCTGATAGGTTAAAACATAGGTGGGAGGAGTAAACAGAACAGAATGCTGGGAGGAAGAGGAAGTGAGCTCAGAGACGCCATGTTCCCCTCTCCCGGGCAGATGCGAGATGCGACAGCTCTGCTCTCTGGGGCACAACCCAGGATGGATGTAAGCTAGAATCTTCCCAGTAAGTGCACCTAGCAGTGCTACACAGATGATTAGAAATAGGCTAAATTAATATGTGAGAATTAGCCTAGAAGAGGCTAGATAGAAATGGGCCAAGCAGTGTTTGAGGCGGCCGGGATGCTGGGGACTCAGCCCCGCCGCTCCTATTACTACAGCTTAGGGTCGTTTTTAAACCTTCTATTACTTTTGCCAAGGGAGAAACAAAAAACTCCTCTTTGAATGAGAAAGAACAGGGAATAGCCTAGAATATAAATACCTGACCTAAGACCCCTGAAGCTGTACCACCTGCCTAGCACTCAGGCCTCATAAGAGACCATACATTGTACAGTTCAATCAACTTTAAACCGGTCTACCTTTCCTTTTTTCAGGGCAGTGTAGACATCTTTATACTGTTGGTACTTTTCCAGCTCAGCTTTCACCAGGACCTGACGGATGTGCATCACTTCCTCCACGGTGAGAGCGAGGCACTCCACTGGGTAGCAGAATTCCTCCTGAAATTCAAAGGCCTTGTGAGTGAAGGAGTGCCCACCCTGCTCTAGAACTGCAGTGCTCCCGAGATCAGACACCAGGTTAGTAGCTTCAGAGGACAGGAGTCCCATGATCACTGGGACAGAGCTGGCTCCCTCTGGGAACCACATCACTCCTAAGTGCACCATAGAAAACAGGACCATGACTGAGGGAAATGTTGCAGCCTAATGCAATTTCCAATAAACCGAAGTTCCTCACATTTGGTCAGGTATCTCTGGTTAACTGAATCAAGCCTTGTGTCACAGATGATTCTGCAAATGTGTTCTGAACTACACGCTACTGGAAATGTACAAGTTTGGTCCTGTTTTCCAAACTGGCTTGTGGTACCCAGAACAGCCAAGTGAAGGTGGTTAGTACTTTATACAGATAAGCATTGCTGAGTGATCAGTTACATCAGCACACTCTCAAAACTCCCTAAAGCTTTGAGTGGAACCGCAGCAGGAAGTGGGAGCATGGGCAGCTTATTGCCAAGGCCCATCGCTCCAGCAGCCCCAGGTCTTTTCACTGGCTGCTGAATGCACAGTCAGCACAGATGGAGGCGGAGCCCTTCATGATAAATATTTATGTTGGCTTCTTATGTTAATGGCCTCCTTACAAACAGCTGTGAAAAATGTTGATGTAACTGATCCACTGAATAAGAGCCTCGAACCATCGTCCTCCATCCGGTGCTGTTGATTGGTGGATCTAAGAGAAAGACAGAACAGCCCTGTGCACTCAGGCCCTGCCAGGCTTCAAGGGGCCATTGTGGTGCATTGACACTGAAACTCAATGTTCTTAGCACACACATTACAATTCACTCCCACACACCGCAGCACTGCTCCCAGGCATTCTGGAACCAAATAAGCCAAATGAGAAAGCACATGACCATGAGGGCATCAGTTTATGGAGTGTTAACATTCAGTTCTGTCTTTCAATCAGAAAGAAACAAAAATAAATCTAGGTTGCAAATTTGACAAACATTAGCATTTACTAAAAAAAAAAACAAGTCTGTCTCACTTTGCTTCAATTCAACACAGGATCTGCTCAAGCTAACTTAAGGGGCTGGGCTGTTTTAGATGCTTTGGAAAGAACCTGCACTTGAGTTGTTAAGATGAGGAGCTTCTCAGTAGTTGGGGGTCAGGGTTTGCTCAAGTAGACTGTGTCATTTGCTCTAAGGCGCCCACAATGGGCGCTCAAAAAGAGCCACCATCACACACAATTTCCCCTTTAGTGGAAACACTTTCAGAGATTACAGGATTAAGCAGTGTGTTCAATATGCCCTGATTTTGTTTTACCCGGAGAACAGAGCAGGGTCACACGAGCTACCTATGTGAAGGGTAGGCCACGTAAGTGGACTATTAAATTAGTGGTGCTGGCTGAGCAAGGTTTTGTGATGATTTTTCTTTTTCAATTCTTTGTCAGATAAGTTTTTCTACCAGTATTTAATAAAAGGTAGCTGTTAGCTAACTATGACAAACCTGCTAAGCTGCAGCAAAATACTCTGCTAATCTAACTAACGAAGCAAGCATTCGGATCCCTGTGTCCTGCAGCTCCCTGGCTGGGAAATGTTGTTACTTGAGGACAGACTGCCACACAAAACAAACTCCCAGCTGTGTTTCCCTCCCTGCAGTCTAAGTCACAAAACAGCCTACTTTGTCAAGATACCTTCAACTTTCTGCTTTGAACCACTTGCAAATCCAGTGTTTCACAGTAAGAAATCATGGAGCGTGCTTATTTTTATTCTTTTTAAAAATTTCATGCAGATTACCCTTGGTAAAAATAATTTCCATCATGTCAAATGCTAATGTTTTAACTCTGGAGTTTGCCCAAGGACAACAAGACTTTAATGCAACATTGTGACTACAATAGTTTTAACTGTTTTTCCATTTGACAATATTAATTCAAAATCTCTAAAGCCAAATCAAACTGTAACAGATCTTATGCTCCCAGCTGAGGAGTATCCCAGGTGCTGAGACAAGAGAGTGCCTTCCCCATATGACCCTGTATACTGTCCCCTGCTGTGGGGTCAGTAGATGGGGTTAGGCCAGCCTGACTCCACCACCCTTGTTGTTCTATGTCCCAAAGTAACTCAGAATGGGTGGGTAGGTGGGTGGGTGGGGGAGAGCAGCGAAGACTCTGACAATGGGGCCAGGCATGCCCCTTATTTACATGTTTACAAGCTGAATGTTACTGAATATTCTGATCATAGTTTAACCAGACAAAAGAGGTCAGAATGAGGCGGCATGGAAATTAGAGAGCAGAATGTGAAACTCTGATTATTAGTTACCAGCTACAGAGAAATGAGAGGACTGACCTGTCTGTTTTTCTGTCTACCTATTTTAATGTGGAGCACGGGGCACATGTGCACACAGTGAGGTTGTGGACATAAGAGGACCACTTGGGGTTCTCTCCCTCCATAATGTGGGCCCTGAGGATTGAACTCAGGCTATCAGGCTTGGTAGGCAACAAGTACCTTAACCTGCTGAGCCATCTTGCAGGCTGAGAAGAGAGATCTTTTATATCTTTTATATAATTGCTTCAGTTAGAAAGAAGCTTAGGCTATACCAGCAGCAAATATTTATAAACTATCCAACCTAAATAAAAACATGTCTTACATTTAATCACTCTTCTCTTTAAATTCAATTTTAAAACTGAAAGTGAATTTGTTTTTTGCTTCAAACAGTCTATGGACCTCATGTAGGTATTTCTGTTTGAGGATGTTCATAATACAATGTCAACACATGGCAGTAAGAGAATTAAAGAGCCACCTATTTTGTCTAAAGGGATAGTCTAAAGTTAGGTGGGGAATAGTGAATACAGATGGACACAGAGATTCTGTGACAAACGACAGAGTTAGGAACATGCTCACTGTGCCCTATGTCCTTTAACTTGAGATGAGTAACAGAGAACCCAGCTGCTGGGTCCTCTGTCTGTCAAGGGCTTGTTTCATATAGATCCTTGAAGAGCCAGGCCCTTGCTGCTCTCTACCATGGGGAAGGGGTGGGAGGGTTTAATGTGGCCTTTCAAAAACATTCAAATGACAGTAACATATATTATTCTGTGAGAGAAAAAAATCCCCCAAAATGTGACAAAATAACAAATAGTTTCTGGAGAAGTAGCATTCTGGGGGGGGGGGGGGCTATTTGATCACAGAGCTGGTGATGGAGTGTGGGAGAAACACCGGGATGCACCTGCACCTCTACAGGTGTGGCAGGGTGTCCATCGTGACCGCCACAGCTGGTTTGCCAGCTGGGTGAGTGAATAAGCCCTTCCCAAGGCTCCAAGGTGGGAGGTCACTGAAGCCCTCCCTCACAGGGGTGCCTGCCTGCACAGGAGTCAGGAGGAAGCAATGCCCTGCTGACAGTGAGTCACTCCCAGAGACAAACACCCACGGGCTTTCTAGCTGATGCTGCATTTTGAGTTTGTTGTCCTTTCAGCTATTTTCTTCTCCAATGAGATCACAGCATGATCTATAAGTCCTACACAAGATTGGAATCAGCGATCAAAAGCAAAGTGCCCATCTGAGCTGTTAATTCTTGCAGAGTGCAGTAGCTGAGGTGTCACTGTCAGAGATACAGAGAGAAAAGGGTTCCCAGAACCAGCGGAAAGAGGCCAACCTTTGAGGGTTTCCACCTGCTGGTAAAAGCTCTCTCAAACAGATAATACATAGCCCCTGCTACCCCAAACATGGCTGCTTCAAAAGGATGAGAGCTCAGCAGAGAAGCTGTTTGTATGGTAGAGAAAAGCGGTCGGAAAGGCGTCCTTGGCCATACACTGGTTATCCTAGGGACCTGAGCACGGAAGGGAAAAAGAAAACAGCAGGGGGAAGAAAAGGAGAAAATGCTGAACAAGTGACCTACAAATGACAATTACCGACTGTGAAAGAAAAACAAAGCAAAACAAAAAGCAACATGTGGATGGCAATGATCCATGCTGACATCCCATTCATTTTTGTAAGTCAAGAATCAACCAGTAAGCCACACTCCAAGAGTCACTCAGCAGAGACACTTAGAGCTGCTCCATTTGGTGGTCTGTGAGGACTCTGATTCTTCCAAATGAGGCTGGTTGAGATGCAGCTCCTGTGCCCACATCTGCCCCTGGCCCTGGAAGGTCCTTAACAACAACTGCTTTTCACTTGAATGAGCAATCAACATCAGTAATCTGACCAAATAATGAAATAATATAACAAACATAACAAAATAAAATTTATTTACAGCAAAAACATTCCTGTTATTTTCAGTCGAAGAGATAAACACAAAACGCTTTCTCCTTTTCTACAATGCAGGTAAAGCTCTCCGTGACTATGCTTTAAGAACATCATGTCCCGAACTAGAGGACTTCACTCACTGTCAGTGATTTCTACAAACTCGCCAAACTACTAGTGAGAAAAGTCACTGTGTGGAGGAGGCCTCCTTTCTCTCAGCTGGTGCCCATGAACTCGAAGGAGCTGTCTCCAGCATGACCTCCTTCCCTACCCTTTAACCACCACTATCTGTGGGCCAGGCCCCTTTCCCACTGCCTGTTCCCAAGACCCTCCCTCCTCAGTGAGTGCAAAATTTTTCTTTCCTCCTCCTCCTCCACAGGAGCCTACAGTCTGACCAAGCACACACCACAGTTCTCCTTCTCTGGCAAATAGTCTTTGTGTGCCTGGCATGTAGCTGCATGGTTGGCATCATTTATGTTATTAGAGCAAACTACTTTGTAGTAATCTAAAGTTCCTTGTAATGACATTTTATTTGTATTTTAAAAATAAAGCTTGCCTGAAGAACAGTCAGGCTTACAGACTGCGGTGAGACACACTTTTAATTCCAGTAGCCACATTTGTTGCCATAGAAACTGAGTGGTGCATGCCTTTAATCCCAGTCCTAGAAAGGATTCTAAAACGGGAGGAAACAGTTCTCAGACACAGTGTCATTCTAAGATTCCTGGAGGCAGGATCGCCATTTTTAGACTGAGGTTGAGGTAAGAGTCAATGGCTGGCTGTTTTGCTTTTCTGACCTTCAGATTGAACCTCAATATCTGACTCTGAGTTTTTATTAATCGTGCTTCATTTCCAGGCAAGTTTTATTTATTAAAATACAAGTGAAATGCCACTACAGCTCCCTTATGCTTATAACTTTTTGTCTTTTTTTTTTTCTTTTTTGAGACAGGGTCTCATGGAACCCAGGAGGCTGACCTTAAGGGTGACATTCAACTTCTGATCTTCTTTGCCTCAGCTTCCAAAGCAGTGCATACATTACAGGTGTGCACCACCACATCCAGTTGTGTATTTTGGTAAAGTAAAAATCTGTCCACACTGACTAACAGGTTTTGGATTTTAAATCCGAGCTTATTTTCCTGAGTTGCTTTACTGCTGGCAGGACATTAACAAGTCTCCATTTCACCAAAGAATTTCTATCTTTAAAACAGGTTCTTATTCTGTAGCCCAGTGGGTTTGGAACTCACTATGTACCTCAGACTGGCTTTGAACTTGTGGTGACCCTCTAAATGGCAGCGTTACCAAGCACACCAGTGTGTCAAATGAGAGCAGCGGCTCAAGTGAGAGAGCTAGAAAAATCTCATAAAAAATGGCCATCACCCCATACATTTTTTTAATTGTATTATTTTTCAATAGATGTGACATCAAATGCCAGATTCTAAATTCTGCTCACACTTCCCGTCTATACTGACCACTGTGTCCTCTCCTTGAAGGAAGGACATCTGTCTGCTGTCTCATTTGAAACATGTATGACCCATCACAGGTAAAGGTGGAGATATAAGCATGTTCATGTGACTTATTCCTGAGTATCTGAAAGACAACATTAGCTATTAGACCAGTGTTTCTCAACCTTCCTAATGCTGTGATCCTTTCAGTTCCTTGTGTTGTGGTGACCTGCAACCATAAAATTATTTTGTTGCTACTTCATTACTTCCCTGTTGTTATGAACTGTAACGTAAGCATCTGATATGCAACCCTGAAGGAGTTGTGAGTGCAGGCTGAGAACCGCTGTATTTGACTGTGGCTGGAATGTTGGTGGACCTCTTGCATCATGTTGTGTTTTGGAAGCTCATGAGGGAAACCAAAAGGATCTCTGCAGACTTTTCTGTGTGCGCTACCCCAGTGTAAGGAGCAACAGCCACTGATGAACAGCTCAGACAGCGGTTCTGCCTGCATTACACACACTGACAAGCCAGATACAGTTCTTCCTGTTCCACTCAGGTAAAATGAGCTACTCAGTCAGATTATGCTGAGAACGTTTTGATAATTTTACCCTCTAAGACAAAGAAAGCATTTCTGTAATAACTCATTGATAAAGCTTTTCAAAATGAGTACTCAACATCAACCAGAGGCTGGTCTGCAGCCAGAGCCCATTTTCTTTAGATATTAAGCACAAAGATGGTAAAGCTCAGGCTAACCTGTGCGGGCTTTTCTCCTTTTCGTTTTGAAAACAAGCTGACTATTCCTCCCTAGACATCTCTGTTCATCCTTTGGTACTTACAAGAGAGCGCGAGCTCTGCCTGGATGGTGGCAGAAACTGCCTCACGTTGGTAGGTGTTTCCTTTTCAATGGAATGGCGCCTCTGGGGTGGTTGCCGTCTCTCTGGCTGGGGTGTTGACGAGATAGGCAAGAATTTTGGAGGCTCTAAAGAGTTAACCAAATAAATAAACAAACTTTCTTAAAAAATACAATCTAAGATTCTGAATTTTCCATCAGATAACCTTTTGCACTGTATGATGACACTGTATTCAAAGACTAAGGACTTATTTCAGGGGAGAGCTGTTTTAAGATGGCAGCTCTGGGGATGGAGAAAGAATTGTTCCAAAAATTGCTTATTAGATGAACCTGCTACAGAAACAGCAAGGAAAATGGGGGAAAGTTCTATGGTTTTAATATCTATTCAAGTTCATATTAAAACATATTATGATTATCCTTAAGGTTTGTATGTGCAAATGCCCTCATTTTACTTTCCATAAACCTTACAACTGACCTCTCCATTCCTATTTTAAAAACACAAGAACAGCTGGCTGCAGTGGTACATGTCTTTAATCCCAGAACTTGGGAAGCAAAGGTAGGCAGACCTCTGAGTTTGAGGCCAGCCTGGTCTACAGAGTGAGTTCCAGAACAGCCAGGGCTACATAGAGAAACCCTGTCTTGAAAAACCAACCAACCAACCAAAAAATCCCCACAGAAATACATATATTCTGTATGGCCCAAAAGCAACCCTAACTATATCAAAATTCAAGTGAACCCTATTTTTACACTCTTGGACCTGCCAAGCAAGCGTTCAGCCTCTGAACTGTATTCCCAATTATTAACTAGCAATTTTCAGGATAATCTTTAGGACGAACGGTTCTGGATGCATTATGTAAAGGAATAAGGATATTAGAAATAAGTTACATTATTGAAGTTTTATTTAGCACTTCCTCCTACTCTACCCATAAAGCAGGGCTGCTCATACTGTAGGGAGGAAGGTAAGAGTCATCATAGTTAAGTGGGATCCATGTCTTTGGATTATCCCATGAAGGCAACCTACTAATTTCCAGTAAATGAAATGATAATGAAATTGCTTACACAGTTTGATGGGCATGCTATACTATTAATTTATTTACTTATTTATTTTGAAACAGATCTCATGTAGTCCAGGCTGGCCTCAAATCTGCTATATGGCTGAGGATGACCCCAATCTACTGATATGATCCTATTACCTCTATCTCCTGAGTGTTGGGATTCCAAGTTTGCACTACCATACCTGGTTTTATTCACCACCAGAGTTCAAATCTAGGGCTTTGTGTATGCTAGGCAGTTGTCACTCTACAACTGAGTTAAAGCTCCAGCTCAAGGGCCTCTGTTAGGTTTAGTGGGCCTAGCTAACAACCAAGATAACTCTTATTGACTTAATTTTGTATGTGTGGTGCCTATGGAGGCCAGCAGAGGGAGTTACAAATGACTGTAAGCTGTTATGTGGGTGCTGGGAACCTAACTAAGGGCCACTGTGAGAGCAGCAAGTGCTCTTAACTACTGAGCTATCTCTCCACCCCTTAAGAACATCTTAATATTCAATGAATTAATTTCTAACCCTTCTTAATGATTTCACATTGGGTATGGTTGTACGTATGTTACACCAGGCAGGTAGGGAACAAATATGGTTATCAAGTGATTCTGAGCTTAAATTCAGACTAGGAGGTCATTAATCTGAAAAGTGTGTGCACACACATGCACGCACACACTCTCTGTTGATTTATCTATATGCATGCTATGCATGTACAAAAATAAACTTGCCTGACCTAGTTAAGTTAACTGTCCATGCAGCCTGTCTGCTCCTAACACTGAGGCACAAGGGTTAGTGCTATATACCCCAAATGATCACAGTGCACTGTGGGCCCCTGCTCTAGGTCGAGGATTTTGTAAGGTATGCACTCACTCTTTCTTGCGCACATGGCCTCCAATACTGGGTCCTCATAGAGGGAGGGAGATGCACTGCTGCTGCTGGTTGACTTGTGCAGAGTTTCCTCCTGAAAAAGGCAAATTCGTAAACTTCAGATCCTCTGCTACTGAATGACATCCTAGTAAACAGATGCTTTAACACAAGACATCAAATTATGATGCCAGAGGCTCAAGAGAAACTAAAAGGGATCTAAAATTAGGGATGGGCTCATATCCTCACTTTGCCTAATTAAAAGTGATTAAGTTTTAATTAGGGAAACAGGCGGAAGAGATTGAGCCAGGAAGCAGCATTCTTCCATGGTCTCTGCTTTGCTTCCTGCCTTCAGGTTCCTCCTTGAGCACCTGTCTTGGGTTCCCTTAATGGCAGACTGTAACCTATGGGCTGAAATAAACCCATTCTAATCCAAGTTAATTTGGGGTGTGGTGCCTACCATAGCAACTGGAAAGTGAACTAGAATAAGAGCTTTATCTGCTGGGCCCAGGCCCAGCACTTGCTCTTATAATGGACAATAAACTTCCCAGTGTTCCACAAGATCTTGCAAGACAGGGAGCTCGTGCTGGATGGACTTAGCTGTAGTTCCCATTCCATTTCTACCTGCTGGACATTATACTTCTGTGTGCATCTGAGGTAAAAATATGTTTTGGTGTTTAAAAACAAGGGACCTGGATGCTCAAGATAGGAGGAAATACTCAGGTAAACCGGGAAAGCACATGAGTGGGAAGGAAGAAGAGAGAGAGGAGGGAGGGAGGGAGGAGGTGGGCCTCTCCCAGCTCCTGAGACTCCTCTCTATTGAAATTTGTTCACTGTACAGCCTCAGCTAGTCAGCAGAGCCACCACAGACACAGGCAGAGTTGGGAATGAAGGTGAGGAAGATGTGTGCATGACGAGTCTGCCCAGCGAGAACTACATGAGCATGCCACGGCACAGCAAGACCAACATCCCACAGAAACACGGCAAGTACCCTGCCTGGCTGCTATATGCCCGTAATCAGCACTCAGGCGTCCCTAGTCCTTCCAGAGTCTTCAGTCTCTCAACAGCTAGTGCCTAGCAAACATGTGTCTCATCAGGCATGTTTTTAATTCCTGTATAAATTAGAAGCAATTGGAGTGTTAATGCCACCACACTTTTGCTTCTGTATTTGATACTTACTGAAGACATTCAATAAATGTAAACTTTGAATGGAAAAAAAAAACTGAGGAATAAGAATTTGGTAAAAAGAAGAGTGGAAAAATACATGAAGTAGGGAACAAAATACACCAGCAAAAGTAAATAGTCTACTATGTGATATGGGAAACACTTAATAGCTTTGTATTTATGGCCATTATGAGAAAGCAAATATGACCAAGCAAGCAAATCAATGTTTGTTTAGGGATTTCCTGACATCAGAAATTAATAGAGGAGTACGGAGATACAAATCTGCCAAATTAGGAAACTGTGCTCCTCACTTCCTATTTTTGGATCCAGAAGACTGAAAATCAACAAAATCAACTGTCCCCATCCGGTGATACTGATACGAGCTGACAGCCCTGGTAGAGGATAAAAGGACCGGCTAGGGCTGGAGAGATAGCTCAGTGGTTAAGAGCATTCATTGCCTGCTCTTCCAAAGGTCCTGAGTTCAATTCCCAGCAACCACGTGGTGGCTCACAACCATCTGTAATGAGGTCTGGTGCCCTCTTCTGGCCTTCAGGCATACACACAGAAAGAATATTGTATACAAAATAAATAAATAAACAAACAAACAAATATTAAAAAAAAAAAAAGGACCGGCTGTCACCCCACAGAGGATGCAGGGACAGATACCCCCAGCACATGAGGCTACATTGACAGCTAACAAGATAAAGTGCTGGGTCCAGTGTTCTCTCTACACACTCAGAGCGAGGACCCGGGGCAGGTACCATTTGGAGAACTGTCTCCACTGGTTCACATTATTAAGATCAGGTGTTTCATTCACCTGGGTAAACATCTGGCTTTTACAAGAGACATATTTCATGGCTTTAATCAAGTAAAAGATAGTCTAGAAGTAGCTGATGTTGAGAGACATGTTTAGGACGAATACAATTTATCTACCAATATTAAATAAATCTGTGTTTCATCAATAGAAGCTTTTACAAAAAATATTTATGTGTGTATAAGAAGATGCAGGACATCTTCCCCTATCACAATCCTTTAGCCTATCCCCCACTCAATACTCAATCAAAGTTTCTTTGGGAACCTGGGAAAGTCAATAAGCCCAGAAATCCTCCTGTCTCTGTTCTTTGCCCCTTTTGAAGCTAGAGTCCCAGCCACAGATCCATGTGGAACCTGGCTTGTCATGTGGGTACTGGGACCTGAACTCCTGTACTTGTGTGTATGCAGCAAACACTACTAATTGCTGTTCCATCTCTCCAGCCCCATCAATAGAAACTTTGATAACATAATACAAAGCCCCAATGTGAACAGCCGATTTAAAATAAGTCACCTGCATATCTGTGCTTTCTAAACATTAAAGATTTAATGTAATGAGAAGTTGTAAAATTTTTGTCTAAAAATAAGAACACAACACTCCTGAATATACCTTTGATTAATCTTTCCTTATACTTAAAAACATCAATTTAAAAATACACACAAAGAGTGCACTTAATTCTAGGTCTTTTTTCAAGATCATTTATTTCCTTCCATAATCCTATGATATAGACAGAAATTTCTGTCTTGACTGGTCCCACTGCCATTCAGTCCCAAAGAAACACACAGAGGTTGATATTATTTATAAACTGTTTGGCCTATTAGCCCAGGCTTTTTATCAATTAGCTCTTACAACTTAAATTGACCCACAATTCTTATCTATGTTTAGCCAGTGACTTGGTACCTTTATCAGTAAGGCATTCTCATCTTGCTTCCTCTGTTTCTGTCTGGCAATTGCATCTCTGCCTTTCCTCTTCCCAGAATTCTCCTAGTCTGGTCACCCCACCTATACCTCCTGCTTGGCTACTGGCCAACCGGTGTTTTATTTTTATTTTTTTTATTTTTTATTTTTTTAGTTTTTCCGAGACAGGGTTTCTCTGTAGCTTTGGAGCCTGTCCTGGCACTAGCTCTTGTAGACCAGGCTGGCCTCGAACTCACAGAGATCCACCTGCCTCTGCCTCCCGAGTGCTGGGATTAAAGGCGTGCGCCACCACCGCCCGGCCAACCGGTGTTTTATTAAACAATATGAGTGACAAATCTTTACACTGTACAAGAATACCACCCAACAGCACTGTGATTTCTCCTATTACTGACCCAAGTTTCTTTACCCAAGATTCACTTCCCTTCTCAGCCCTAACTGCTTGCTTTGGGCACTAACTATTAATGGGCACAAGCATCTCACAGCAGGGATGGGGCGGCTCTCTGACATCTCTATCTGTATGAAACATGAACTATCTGCTGTATGGGATGGAGTCTTCCAAAGTGTTCAAGGAGGAATGATAAAAGATCTGTGCAGGGTATAATCTGGGAATTATACCCAGAAATAAAAAGAAAATCAAACAGGTAAGACAGGGAGACAACTGATATCAGTAACAAGAATATCTGTGTGTGTGCGCGTGCATGCGTTTATATATACTTGATTACACAAGCATACACATCTTCAAAGAAGCCAGAGGAGGATGTCTGTTATCTGTTGATATCACTCTCTGCCTTATTCCCTTGAGACAATGTCTCTCTCTGAACCTGGAGCTAAGCTGACAGCCAGCAAGCCCCAGTGATCCTTTTGTCTCTATAACCTAACAATGCCGGGGTTACAGGCATGGGTGTATCCATACTCTGCTTTTTGCTTAGGTGCTGGGGATTTTAACTCAGTTCCTCATGCTTGCATAGCAAACACTTTTACTCCACTGGACCATCTCCCTAGCCCTGTTGGGAAACATCTCTAGTAGAGAAACCATATTATTGATAGTGTTGTGGATGGTGGTGGTGACTGAAAATAAAAGAATGAAATAGTAATATCTAACTCAGATGGACATGGGGAAGATGGAGCCAGCAATGACAATGATATATGTGTCCATATACCACGGAGAAGAGTAGAAGAACGTCATTTTTGTGTAAGTTAGGGCCAGGCAGGGAAGACCTATCAAGCAGCAACACGCCGTTCTGACAGTTGTAACTCAGCAGATGGAGGAGGTGCAGCATGGATGCAGGTATGGAAACTGAGCAGATGGGTATTCTCCCCTGAAGGGCACAGGGTAAAGCAAAGACTGCAGGGAAAACAACTCTCTTCCTGAAGGTTTGTTTGCTGGCATGACAATTACAGAATAGACGTACATGTGTCAGGGTGTACTGCAGAGGAAGAAGAAACTACAGAAATATGTCCCAACTTGATTTTCTCCTTCGTAAAGCAAAGATCAAGGCCATAGGAGTTTTAAGGCTGTTGACTTATCTTATCCCTACTTATAATCTAAGACTACAGATCTCAACTTCAGTAGCTATTTTCTAAGCATATCCACCACACTGGTCTGTAGTAGTAACAGTAACTATCCTTCCTGCTGGCCACATTAACTTCAATCATACCTTTACTGATTGAAACATGAATAGATGAGCAAACAGCTCAAGGCACTGGGTGGGGGACAGGGTCAGAGGGCATCTCTGTGCCTGGCATCCTTACCTCAGAGTCAGAGCTGTCTAGCTCAGCCAGGGTTGGAGCTTTGAGCAGTTTCTTCCGCTGCGCAGGCCCGGGCTGGGCAGCGCTCAGCCCATTTTCCTTTGTTTGAGATGTTAAGCTTCCATTCGCCAATGATGATTCCCCAACATTCTTTGGAGATTCTGGGGTAGTGACATCTAATAAGAGAAAGGCAAAAGCTTACCTTTTCTTGAGCCAGAAAAGGTAATCTGTGTTGGAAGAACAACCAGGTGACAGCATTTCCATGTCACACAAATAAAACACAAAGGCTCAGTACAGGGATGCCATGCCTGTGCATATGGAACGTTTGTTAAAGCTACTGTCAGATTATTGCCAGGAAAACCTAAAGTGGATAATTATATATTCACATTTGTAGTTTAGAACTCAGAGTTGGGAGAAACCCTAGATAAACGACCTTGACTTCTTGTTTCCCAGATAAATAAAAAGAGGCTCAGAGCAGCTAGCTGTACTCATGCTAAGGTACCCGGGTAGAAGAAACATACAGCACACACTGTCTCCCTAGGGATAAGATCTAAAAATGTCTTGTCTTAAAAATCAAAGAAGTTAAGAATCTATACTCATATAAGCACATTTATGTAAGCACAAAGAATCTGGGACACATCTCAATACATCAGATTTACATTATTAAGGGCTTACATCTTCAGCATGTGGGAGAAAATGTAGCAGTATACAGTTGGCATATGCACACAGGGCTGGAGGTCTTCCTCCATGGCTAGCTGTCTGGGTAAGCTCCCTAATCTCCACTTCCTCCCCTGAGAAGCAGAGCAGTACAGATACAGCTAGCTGAGAGGATTAAGCAGGTCAGTAACTGTGAGTAACATCCTGTGCCTAGCACAGTCAATGTTAGCCAATGATAACACTAGTTTCCAGTTCTCCTTCTAAGGAACCCAAGCCCTTGACTGACACTGGTGTGGGCCAGAGCTGATTCCCAAGGCCTGCTTTTTAGTATTCTAGCATGGAATTCTCCAATGAAAACAGAATTGATTTTCTTGAACATTTCAAATAAAGACTTAACATGAATTACCTCAAACAGCTAACTATAAAATCAGAGAAGTAAAAATGTGGCAAACAGTGCAGGTTAATGCGCAGTCCAGAGCAATCAGCGGCTCTTTGCAAACAGAACCATCTATGAAGCTTCTGAGAAAGCTTCATGCAAACTGAGAAAGACTGTGGGAGGGGAAAAATTGTAACTGAAGGTTATTTTTCTCTCAGCAATTGCTATCTATATCCCTGAAGTAGAAAACACTCAGTATTTAAGTATGTTCTTATTTTATTTTATTATTAATTTTTGGAATAAGGTCTGGTGTACACCAGGCTGGCCTTGAACTCACTGTGCAGCTGAGAAGGACCACCTTCTGATCCTCATGCTCCATTTCTACTGTGCACCACCATGCTCAGTCTGTGTGATGATGGGGATCTCACCCAGGGCTCTGTCTGTGCTAGGCTAGTATTCTACCAGCTGAGCTACATCTTTAGCCCCTTTATATCTGTGTTCTTACATTTTCCTTAACATTATTTATTACAATGATAAGTTCTTATATAATATTTACAATTTCTAGCCAGGTATGGTGGCACACGTCTGTAACACCAGCATTCTAAGGTAAGAAGGCTAATTATGAGCCTGATAGCCTGGAATACACTGCAAGTAGCAAGACAAAAAATAATTTTATGACTAGGCAGTGGTTGCGCGTGCCTTTAATCCCAGCACTCAAGAGGCAGAAGTAGGAGGGTCTCTGTGAGTTCAAGGTCAGCTTGGTCTACAGAGTGAGATCCAGGACAGCCAGGGCTACATAGTAAGATTCTGTATCAAAACAAAACAAACAAAACATAGACAAAAAAACCAAAATAAATAAATACATGGAAGAAAAGACAAACTGCACATTCATGTGCCTTCTCAGCCTCTCCTGTCACAGCAGAAGCCAGTGAGACAACCCACCTCCCACAAAGAGATTTTGCAACAAGAACAAACCTAGTTCCCAAGACTGGGCTCATGCTGTCAAGGCAAAGAGATTTTATTGGCTATATATTCATTTACTATCTTGCATTAAAAAAAAACCCCAAACTATTGTATCATACCTACATTTCTGTGGATGTTATTGCTTAAGAAAATTTAGAAGTCGTTTAAGGTAGATTAATTTTTTAAAAAAGATTTAGCTTTATTTTTTGTGTATGAGTATTTTGCCTTCATGTATGTATGTGCTTCAGGTATTCACCTGTACAAACCAGAAGTGGTTGTCAGATCTCCCAGAACTGAAATTACAGATGGTTGTGAGCTGCTACTGAGGTACTGGAAATCAAACCCAGGTCTTCTGGAAGAGCGACTCATTAGTCAGTCCCCTCAACCACTGAGCCATCTCTCCAGACCCAGGATAGATTAAAATTTTTAAATTGTGTTGATAGTATTTAATATTGTTTAGGTTAAAAATATTTAAGTAGTGCTGGTGTGGTGGCTATTCTTGGTTGTCAACTTGCCACCTGGAATTAGCTAAAATCCAAGCAGCTGGGCATACACCTGTGAGGGTTTTTGTTAATTAAATCATTTGAAGCAGGGAGACCCACTCTAAATCCTGATCTTTCTGGGTGGGAAGGTTCACTTTAACCGCGCCATACCTTCTGGTGACAGTCTATATGAAGGGCACAGAGGACATGCTTACTCTTTGTCTGTTTGCCCTCACCCTCACTGGCAAGTTCACTCCCTCACTGGGATACTGACATCCAGCCTCTTGGACCAAACAACGTTAGAATCTTGGACTTTCCAACAGAAGATGATCGAAACAAACATCCACAGTAAGTTCAAAGTTTTGAGGGGAATGTACTGGTAAAAGGTTCTCCCAGGAGGCTTCAGTGACCTCCAAGATGAGATACTGTGCAAGAATCATTTCCTATAAGAAAGACTCGGCACAACATTTTAGGGAGTTTGATTATTATATTTACTGTTGAAACAATAAATACTATTATTTCAGTATACTAAGTAAAGAGTCAAGCTCTTTTTGTTTCTTCGTTTGTTTTTCGAGACAGGGTTCTCTGTGTAGCAATGGCTGTCCTGGAACTTGCACTGTAGACCGGGCTGGCCTGGGAATAAAGGTGTGAGCCACAACACATGGCAACAGTCAAACTCTTGAAGACAAAATTTCTTGAGAAAAAAAAAATCTGGTCTGGAGAGATGGCTCAGTGGTTAAGAGCACTGACTGCTCTTCTAGAGGTCCTGAGTTCAATTCCCAGCAACCACATGGTGGCTCACAGCCATCTATAATGAGACCTGGTGCCCCCTTCTGGTGTGCAGGCACATATGGAAGGAATGCTGTCTACATAATAAATAAATAAATCTTAAAAAAAAAAAAGGGCTGGAGAGATGGCTCAGAGGTTAAGAGCATTGCCTGTTCTTCCAAAGGTCCTGATTTCAATTCCCAGCAACCACATGGTGGCTCACAACCATCTGTAATGGGGTCTGGTGCCCTCTTCTGGCCTGCAGGCATATGCACAGACAGAATATTGTATACATAATAAATAAATAAATATTAAAAAAAAAGCCGGGCGATGGTGGCGCACGCCTTTAATCCCAGCACTCGGGAGGCAGAGGCAGGTGGATCTCTGTGAATTTGAGACCAGCCTGGTCTACAGAGCTAGTTCCAGGACAGGCTCCAAAGCCACAGAGAAACCCTGTCTCGAAAAACCAAAAAAAAAAAAAAATCTGTATGTAGAGCAATATTAAAGATATAAAATAGAGATGATTTTAGTAATTGTCACATCTTAAATTCAGAATCTAAAAGGCATACCCATGATATTAAATACTTGAATAATTTTGTGTCTGCTGCTTTACTTAGTTGGAAGAAACGCGACTAGAACATGGACTAAATAGTTAATATTTGCACAGGAAGAATAAATCAGACTTATCTTAATTGATGCTGAATGGCTTATTAGGATTTCACTAAGAAATATTTCTAAGACCCCCTGAACAGCAGAATATGCATCCCTTCATCTCAGTCTGCACTCAAGGTCAAAGTCATAATTATATACGCTACACGTTTAGACTATTAACTCTTTAGGGTGCTCATTTTTCTAAGAAGATGTACTTTAGCCTTTAAAGTTGGAAGAATGGATTAATCTATTCCACTTATAACCTGGAACATTTTAGTCAACAGTCAAATGCGACAGTGAAAACCATGGAAGCAGCATAAGCAGTCGACAGTGAGGCTGGGGACAACACACAGGACACCACTAAGGCACGGGACAGACACAGCAGACAATGGACACTGACAACAAAACTATTCTGCCCTGGTTTTCCTGACACAGGGCCACCATGAGCCTGTAAGAACACCAGAGATCACGTGCAGAAGCATGTTTGAGAGCATGCATGCTGTCCTGACCAGCCAATACCAGCCTGCAATCCCTATGTTTAGGTGGCCTTCTACTCCTTATCCAGCCAATGGACACGTGACCAGCAGATGTCCAGAGTGACAGTAGCTAGCTTTTAGAGATTTAGCATAGCACACATGGTCCAAAATTTTGGTTTTATTTTCCAGTCTAAAATTTTTACAGGTTCACTGTACACATAGTTCATAAAATAAATAAGATTAGCTAAATGGATAGAGAAAAGAGAAAAGGCTCTCTGGTGGTCAGTCAAAAATAGTTAATGAGGACCAAACTGCTAAAGTCATGCTTGAGAGCTACAAAAACAAACAGAAAATTAAAAAAACACATGGAAACTAACTTGTAGTTAGAAGACAATAAATATTCAATAATGACACTAGAAAAAGATACTGGAACTCACTGGCTTGTTATGCATAAATTTGTGTGCCAACAATTCTTTTTAACTTAGGAAGTATTCCATAACATTTCCAGAAACATTCTGGGAAAATACATCTTGCCTCATTTTAGCTGGAAATGGTAACTTGTGGAATTAAAAAATTGAATTTGAAAATATAAGAATTAAGAAAAAAATGAAAAATTTGCTCATAAATGTATTTAAATTTTTATTTACAATAAAATATAGTCATTTTCAATTTTTCATTTAACCATTATCCCGGAAGACTAAACAGGAATTGTAAAGCACACTGTATAGTTAGGGCACACATCAGAGAGCCCTGACAGTGATCTTCAGGGACCAGCACAGAGCCATGAATGACAGGCAGAGGGCACAGACAGCAGTTCTGCCCACTGAAGCTCACTTCAAAATGGTTTCTTTACAGTTTTTTCTGTTTCCTTACAGGAAAGGTCTGACCCAGTGAGAGCCGCCACGTACTGGGCAGCAGCCATGTCCAGTCTGCCGACGGCAGCACAGCTCTTCTGGGAGCTGCAGATTCACTGTGCCTTTAATTATGTGGACTGCTCTGAAATAGGTAGGCTATTTTGTTTTACTGACCACAGCTTAGAAGAAAGCTTTTCAATTTTCTTTTCTGACACGTCTAAACAAGCAGACAAATGAATGTGATTCACAGAAACCACACAGCCCATGTCAGGTGTGAAAGTGTTTTTTTTTTTTTTTTTTTTTTACCTGACAAGTCAAAACTGTGAGACATGCTAAGTGGCCGCATTGCTGAAAAAAGAAAACAAACAATAAAGAGAAAGTAATTCAGCCATTAGGGATCCACAGGGAGACAGGACAGAGAGAAGGGGCAGAGTTCTCACTGGCAGTCCTTGGAGGCTAGCTAGAAGCTAGTGGATACAATTCTGAAATATAATAAAACCACACAAGAGTCTTAATTCCAGTTCCAGACAACAACAATCTGAAGAAGAAAATACCATTTTAAAGAATACACTGAGAATGAAAACAAGATAATGAGAAAAATATGAATCTCATCTCTCAAGAAGTGATAGCATTCCTTTTGTATACAGTGGTCAGTTTTATTCAAAAGTTATGTTCATCAAATAATAAGTATCTTGCAAACGATAATATTTGATTGCCAGGAACTAAGAATTTAAGCATTTCCATCCAATATGCAAGAGTTTTAGATGTCTCAGGAAAGTGAACAGGGATTTTGTGTTGATGAGAATAATTTTTTACCCACCATTCAAAAAAATAAAATACTCAGTTCTACACTAAACTATACCCCAGATTTCCCTTGGTAAGTATAGTAAATCAAATAATACACATTCTCAAACCACTCTTCAAGTCCACTATTGAGCTCTTTTCTGGTACATGAACATAACTTTTGAGTAAACTGACCACAGCATACAAAAGCAATATTATCAATTTTTGGGTAATGAAGTTCATCTCCCCACTCACTCCCCACAAGCTAATTGAACCCAGGTCTTTATGCAGGGTAGACAAGTACTCTATCAACTCAGCTACATTCTTGGCTCCCCTTTTTGTTGTTTTTTGGGTCTGAGTGAAATCCCTAACTGAGGCTTTCATTTTTCAGCTCCATATACCACCGAAAGGACAAGAGTGAAGGATTATAGTAAGATGTTTAGAAAAAAGTACCAGTGACATAGAGGCTGAGGAACAATAAATAACAGTAACTACAGACTTACTAGGAAAAAAAGGAAATGGCCCATACACCAGTAGGGAGTAGGTAAATACATCATTTAGACATCAGCTGGGAGATCATGTCTTAATAAATCATGTTTTGGTTTATGTTTAATGATGAAAGATTTTCAGCCATAATTAATGTTAAACCAAGAGAATGTAGATTTTGTAGTTTATGTCATTATTTAAAAATTTTTAATTTTATTTTTTATGAATTAAAGTGTGTATGGGGGCTGAAGGACAAGCTTGGATATCACCATTAGGATGCTTTTACCGCCTTTAAGACAGCTTTTCAATGGCCTGAATATTCTGGATTAATCCTTCTATTCACTGTGATGATGAGTTGCTCTCACCGTTAATAAAAAGCAGTGGCGCATGCCTTTAATCCCAGCACTCAGGAGGCAGAGGCAGGTGAATCTCTATGAGTTCGAGGCCAGCCTGGTCTACAAGAGCTAGTTCCAGGACAGGCTCCAAAGCTACAGAGAAACCCCGTTTCAGAAAACCAATGAATGAATGAATAAAATTAAAAGCTGATTGGCTGATGGCTATGCTGGGGAGACAAAGGGCAGAGTCAGAGGAGACACCATGAGACACAGTGAGCAAGATGGAAAGTACGTAGATGAGGTAAACGAGCCTTAGGCAGCACACAGATTCACAGAAATGGGTTAATTTCTAAGAGCAAGCTAAAAAAGAAGCTCAAGCTATTGGCCAAGCATTTATACTTAATATTAAGTCTCTGTGTGGTTATTTGGGGAGAAGCCTAAGGAAAAAGAAAAGTCTGCTTACACCTGGAATTTACCAATGAGGCTAGACTGGTTGGCAGTGAACGTCAGGAACCCTCCTTCTCCATCTCCCTCAGCGCAGCAGTTCCAAGCATGCACCGCCATGCTGGACATATGTATATGGCTTCTAGGACCAAACACAAACCCTCCTGCTTGAAGGCAGGTGCTCTCCTGACCTAGTCGTTCCTTACCCCTCACTGTTATTTGCAATGCCCGAGCTCACAGAGGATGCCAGTGGATTTTGAAACTATGGATAATTCTCTTAGTCATTAAGACATTTCTCCCACTATCTGCATTGTTTCTACTTGTAATTACAAGGAGAAAACATAAAAATATCTAGAGAAATTTGCTTTTTCAAGTTAATCCTGCCAATACTATCCTAACCAAACACCCCCAAATACAAGTCTACAGTAAAACCCAACGCAATTTCTTCCTTTCCATTTGAGGTTAAAGACTAGTTTAAACTCAGAATTCTAGAAGCAAGGATCTCGGAATAATCATTTTCTTTCTTTTGAAAAAAGTATTTATTTAATGTGTATATTTGCATACGCCATGTGAGCACGCGTGTGTGTGTGTGTAAGACAATTTGAGGCAGTCCTCCTTCTGTCACGTGGGTCTTACTGAGAACTACTGGGGAATCAAACTTGGATCACCAGGCTTGGTGACAAGAGCCTTAAGTGGCTGAACCATATCATCAGTCTCTGAATAATCACATACTATGACTGCTCAATTCTAAACATTGTGAAACATCAAAGCTCATGATGGAAATATGGCAAACTCAACATAAATTTGTTGTTTAGTTTTACTAAAGCAGAGTCCCCTTCCTCAGAGTTAAATAAAATCTTAAGAAGTGAAATGAAGAAATACAAATGAGAGATGGGTCAGAAGTCCAGAAGCTCCCAACCTGTGGTCTCAGCACACAGGAGGCCCCAGCCTGGTCTGAGTCTGAGGCCTGTCAGAGCTACATAATGAGACTCTGTCTCAGGAAAACAAACAAAAATTCTGGAGCGATGGCATACGCCTATAACATCTGCACCTAAATCAAGACCATCCTTAGCTACAGTAAGTCTGAGGAGTATCTCAACTATATGATGCTGTCTCATAACACAAAACAAACAAAAAGTTCCCAGTAAGAAAAGTCCTGGACTAAAGTGCTTCACTCATGATTCTACCAAACCTTGAGAGATGAAATAATTCCAATCTTTTCCAAACTGTTCTAAGACACAGAAGAGGGAGGAACACTGAAGCTAAAACACAAAGAAAGAAAACAAAACCTCAACAAATCCTATCAAGCCAGTCCAACAGCACATTAAAGGCCATACACTATGACTAAGTGGGATTTATTTCTGGAACACAAGGGTGGTGTCCTGGCTAGTATTTACTACCTTGACACCTAGATTCAAGTTTCTTGATAGAAAGTCAATGTAAGACAAATGTATTATGTGTTGATATAACATGCAAAAAGGAACACAAAAAAACAATACCATTTGTTACATCACTGAAAAATAATAAACTATTTAGGAACATTAATAACAAGGAAAATTGTAAGACACAAAGATGGTCTATGCTCACAGATTGGTAGAATTAATATTGTTAAAATATTCATATACCAACCAGGTAAAAATAGTATACATCTTTAATTCTAGTACTCAGGAGGCAGAGGCAGATCTCTGAGTTCAAGGCCAGACTGGTCTACAGAGTGAGTTTGGGAACAGCTAGGGCTACATGGTAACCCTGTCTCAAAAATCGAAACAAAGAAAATCCATATACACAAAGTCACCTACAGATTCAACTCCATCCCCGCCCCCCCCCCCCAAAAAAATAGTTTCTTTTTCTTCTCTCCCTGTGCTCCCTTCTCTTTGTCCCTTGTCCATCCACTTTCCTTTTAAGGTTAGACACTATATAGCCCAGAATGGCCTCAAATTCATGATCCTTCTACTTTCTGAGAGCTGGGATTATAGATGTGTATTCCTATGAAAAATCTTTTTTTCTTTGCGGCTTCTTTTTTTTGAGGAAGGGTCTCACCACGTAAACCAGGTTGACCTCAAACTCATAAACACCCGTCCACCCCCTCTGCCTCTCCAGTGTTAGCATTAAAGGCTAATTGAGTGGAAAACACTCAATTACGGAGTTATATCTCCAGGCCCCCAAAGAATCTTCATTTAAAAAAAATTATTTTAAAGATTTAATTTTCTATGTATGACTGCTTTGTCTGCATGTAAGTATATACACCACATACATACATGTATGTACCCTCAAAGGTCAGAAGCATTGGGGGTGTGGGGGGGGGGGCTGCACCACATTCCCTAGTTCTGGAGTTACAGAGAGTTCTAAGTTGTCATGTGAATATTGGGATTCTAACCCATGTCCTCTCAAGAGCAAACAGTGCTCTTACCTGCCTATTCATCTCTTCGGCCTTCTACCCCTCCACTGGAATCTTAATAATCATTTTCCCAGAAATAGAAAAAAAACACTCCTGAAATTCTTATGGTGCTATGGTTTGAATGTAACTGTTCCTTTTGGGCTCATGTTTGGTGGGGCGGGGGGGGGGGGGGGGGGCTGGGGAGCCTGCAGGGCACAGGGACTGACTCAGACGTAAAGTCATCAGAGGACATCTGGAAAGCACTTCTCTCTCTGCTTCACACTCCCGACACTCCTGCTGTTGCTGGACTCTTACAGGTGAGAGGCAGCTTACTTTATGGGGGAAAGGAACTTGCTGACTACACAACACATAGGGTTAATGCTTAAAATACTAACAAATGCTAATAACTCAATAATAAAACACTATCTGATGACCCTGACTTAAAAATAAGCAAAGAACCTAAAGAGACAATCCAAAGGTGACACAAATAGTTCACAAACACATGAAAGAATATGCAAACATCAATCATCAATCACTAGGGAAATGAAAATCAAAACTAGACTATCACCTTCTGTGTCAGGATGACTACTGTCAAATAAACAAGCTCCTCAAAGACCCAGCGGTAGTAAGTGAAGCAAGGACGCAGAACCAAGGCATTTCCTGCTGCTGAAGAGGGCACAGAATAGTGCGGCCACTATGGACAGTCTTCTCAGGGGGCAGAAGGCTTGCTGCACAAGCATGAGGCCCTGACTCTGGAAAAGCTGGGACCCCAATGGTGGGAGGGGGTGGAGATGATGGATGGTTCCAGGGGATTGCTGGGCCAGCTAGCTTAGCTTCAACAGTATGCTCCAAACGCAGTGAAAAACTGTCTCAAAACATGGTAGAAGACAGCAGCAAACCCCTTCATGCTGACCTCTGGTCTCTGCATGGCACACACAGGAGCGCCCACACCCACCCACACCCATGATCAGAAGGATTCTGAAAGAAATGAAGTAATACTATGTGTCTGTCATCTACAGCAGTACACATGTCAGTTTAGCAGGGCTTTCTTTCCTCTTTTTAGCACAATCTTATTTAGCTCTTATAGAAAAAATATCCTAGAGGCTACATCTTTTATCCCTCCTTTCTGCTGTGGCAGCACAATGTTCTCATGTTCAACATCAGAGAAGGGAAGAACTGTCATATCAAACGTGAGGGTACATGTTAGTGAGCAACAGCTAGGAGAGGAGGGGCGGGAAGGAAGGGAAGACACAGGAGAAAGAGAACTGTGGGTTACTTTTACATGTATGAGTAGAAACACCATTTTCCTAGCAGTGACGCGTGAGCACAGGAAGTGAGGACTTACCTAGTCTGCTCCGCCTAATTTCTTCTGGTGACACAGGTCGCAGCTTTCTTTCTGATTTAATTTCTTCTAATATTCTTTCATGGAGGCTTCGTGGTCGGGGTGGGGTTGGTTTCAATTTCCTGGCTGATGCCTTGGAAAGGAAGAGCAATGGTCAGAGACTCGATTAGCTGTTCTGACTTTATTCATACAATACAGAATTATGAACTGTATTTCACTGATGTCATGTTGCACAATAAAAGGCTATTCAAGTCATTCAATATCAAGATTTCAAATTTTTAAATTTTCTATGTATGTTAATATATATAAGTCAGTCAACAATTCAAGGGAGTGAGTTTACACCTTCCACTTTGTGACATCCAGGGCAAAGACCCCAGACCATCAGTCTTGGTGGCAGACACCTTTACCTACTGAGCCATCTCCCAACCCCCACTGTCAAGACTTTTAATGCAATAGGAGACTACTAGGTCTCCCAGTGATCTGATCACATGTACTCAGGTAAACTGAAGTAGTCAGATCTGCTAAAGTTATAGTCAGGTCCCCTTTATGCCGCTGTTTTGAAAACTAACTATACTGTTGTCATTTTGAGACTCAAGTCTTATTCTATAGTCCAGACTTGTCTCACACTTGTGGCAACCCCTCATCTCAGCCTCTTGAGTGCTGAGATTATAGGGCAAACCACAACCCCTGTCCACAGAGCCATTAGTAACTCACCACCCTGAAGTACTACTGTCTACAGTCTATTAAGGAGGACACTGAGGCTGAGAGGCAGGTTAACTTGTTTAAAGCTCTATCAAGCTAGACTGTGTTGCTAGTGTGAACTATCCGGTTCTTATGACTCCCCTTCCTTCTGCTTTACCCTTGCTGTTACTTTATGCACATAGGCTTGACATGGTTTGATGGAAGCCGGCTACTCAGCCAGGAGGAAAAGAAGTAAGGAGAAACACAAACAGCATTTCGAACAGCATTCTGAGTCTATGGCTTAGGAAAAGCCTGGCCAACAGACTGTTAACAGAAAAGTGAGGACACATTCACTGTAAAACACCATCAGCATGACAGTGTGGTCTGAGCAGTGTAGCAACATGATCTGAGCTGGAAAACCAACCATGCCAGAAACCGTGTGGTGTGAGTTTTCAGCTGTTACAGCAGGTATTCAGCCAGACCGTGCACTGACTCGGATTGTTATAATTGCATTGAATAACTGAAGGTATGTCACTGTGCTGTAGACTGTGGTTTACAGGTAGGCTTCATACTCTCAAGGGAGAGCTTGGTAGAGAGCTCCTGTCCCTGGGGAGACTGTGCTATGTTACGTACTGGATTTAAAGGAGGTCTTGATCTGATGAAGTCAAGGATGATCTCATGAGCACTCTTTCTTAACCGAGGGGGAATGTCACCATTGACCTAAAAGGAGACAAAAAAATAACATGTCATGTGAATCAAGAACCTATCACTGTATGTTCAGTAACTGAGACTCTGATTTCCCAGATAGCACAGCGGTGACTCTGTCTTTCTTAAGGGGTGGGTTTTTGAGATAAGGTTTTGAACTCATAGGCAGTGTGGAAGGTGACCCTGAACTTCCAAACTTCGTATTTCTACATCCGAAGTGCTGGGGTCACAGATATGTGTCATCAAACATGTCTTTGTTTCCCAGTCTAACTTAAATAAAACAGGCTGAACTACCACCTCAGGCCTGGTTCTTCCCCTGTGACAACTGCTCTGGGATCTACCCAACACCACTCCCTTCCTCCATGTGCACTATACCCAGGTCCCATAGCAGCCCTCAGCAGCAATCGCTACAGAGCACAGTCCAGCATGTGAGTGTCAGTGCCTAGCTTAAGAAGTAGAGCTGTAGGATCGACCACAGGCCTGATACAGCAAGACACTTACTCATGGATTTCCTAGTGTTGAGATTTTTAAAACCACTGATATTACACAACTTAATCTGACATTCTAAGTATAGAATCCTATACTTAGAATTCTAATTCTAAACAGACTAATATGTCCTTCTAAATAATTTTCACATGCTTCTAATAGTCTCTCCACCACAACAAGATGAAAAAATGAACAAAGTTGGCTTGCAAGTTCCAACATCCACACAAACACATCACATGAGCTGCTCTTTTGGTGCTTTTGTTTTTGAGACTGTCTTATGTATCCTAGACTGGCCTCCAATTGATATGTAGCTAAGAATGATATCAAATTCCTAATCCTCCTTCTCCAGCTCCCAAGTGCTGAGATTATGTGTATGTGCTACCACTCCTGGCTTTATCTTCAGCGCCTTAGAGCTACAACCTGGCTCTCAACCCACTGTGCACCAGCAGCCATTCTGAGGACGGAGCTGAGTGGAGACAAAGCAAGCTAGAGTATGTATAAACAAAAAACAAAGAACAGTTATTGAGCCAGCAGATCATTCTCAGTTCATAGAACAATTGCCAAAACAAAACAAGCAGTCCCAACTGAAATAAGAAATGGTTACAGATCAACAAATTATAGATTTCAAGAAAATAGAGAAACTTGATCATATTTTAGGGGCACATAGGTGTAACTCCAATTCCAAGGGATCTGGCACTTTCTTCTGGCCCCTTTTACACCAGGCACACACAGTGCACTTACATACATGCAGCTAAAGTACTCAAATGAATAAAATAAATAGATAAATCTTAAAGAAATAGAAAAAGAAATGTGTAACATGAATTAGTTCAAGAACAAAGGATGTCAATGCAAACAGTAAGCAAGGAAAGAAAGAGCTAGGACAGCAGTATTAACAGCAGATAAGACAGATGCCTTGGAAACAGCTAACAAAAAAGACAAAAGCAGACACCAGATACCGAAAATGTAATAATTATAAGTAATAATAATTACTTGCAGCCAGGTGGTGGTAGCACACACCTTTAATCCCAGCACTTCAGGGGCAGAGACAGAGGCAGACAGTTCTCTGTGAGTTCCAGGCCACCCTGGCCTACAGAGCTAGTTCTAGGACAGCCAGAGATACGCAGTGAAACCCTGTCTCGAAAAACAAAAGACAAAACAAACAAAAAACCCCACAAGTATATATGTACCAAAGTAAAGAATCAAACACTGAAAGTGAGATGAAAATTTCTAGAACAGCTGAAGACTTTAATACTCCATTTACAAAAGTGTACGGAACAGAAGATCAACAACATAAAGGGATTTGAACAACTCTGTAAATTAACTAGAAGTGCTCTCCACTAGTAAAAGAATATCCGCCTCTTTCCCCTCACTTCCTCTGCCTCTCCCTCCCTCCTACTCTTTTCTGAGACTGACTTTCTGCCTGTACCTCATGAGTACAGGGAATCACAAATATATGTTACCACACCTGGCAACTGTAGAATACATATTTTTCTTAAGGGCTCAAGATTTCTCAACCACAGCAAAACTAGGTTAAAAATTTAAAAGATGTGGTATTCCACACTTGTAGCCCCAGCAAACAGGAGGACAGCGAGGGTGCTGCGAGAGTCTCAACAAGAAATGGAGGTGACAGGAGAAGAGGCTCACAAAGGAGAGATTTTAAGGCAGAGCTTACAGGGTTTGCTGAGGAGCTGGATATTCCTTTCCTCACAACTCGGCTTGAGGACCTCACTGTATAGCTATTAATAAAGATGTATAGAACAGGATACATAAAACAACCAGCTTATACCTGACACTGAGGTGATGAGTTTAATGAACTCTGATACATCCACAAGCTAGAACATATGGAATTACTTAGAAGCACTAACGATACGGAAGAAGACTCACAACGTGAAACAAGATATCAGGCTGTAAACTGAAATCAGCCCATTCTGTCTAATAAAATGTAGAAAGAAGACCGAGGATTAAGAGAGGCAGAATGGCACATGCTTGAATCCCTGGCACTCAGGAGGCAGAGGAGAGGCAGGAGGACCACTTTTGGGTCAGTATGGTCTATCACAGGTCAGGCCAGTCAGTGCAAGATAGCAAGACCCTGTATCAAAATAACAAGAATAACAACACACCCACCAGAAAACCCAGGGCAGAGGGATGAATATGAATGCAACTGATGAAGCACCATAACTGTCTTAGGGTTTCTACTGGGACAGATAGCAAGTAGGGGAGGAAAGGGTTTATTCAGCTTACATCACTGAAGGAAGTCTGGACAGAATCCTGGAGGTAGAAGCTGATGGCAGGGGCCATGGAGGGGTACTGCACACTGGCTTGCTCTCCATGGCTTGCTCAGCCTGCTTTCTTTGTTTTTTTTTTTTTTTTTTTTTTTGGTTTTTTGTTTTTTTTCAAGACAAGGTTTCTCTGTAGCTTTTTGGTGCCTGTCCTGGAACTAGCTCTTGTAGACCAGGCTGGCCTCGAACTCACGGAGATCCGCCTGCCTCTGCCTCCCAAGTGCTGGGATTAAAGGCGTGCGCCACCACTGCCTTTCTTATAGAACCCAGAACCACCAGCCCAGGGATGGCACCACCCACCATGGGCTGGGTCCTCCCCATTGATCACTAATTGAGAAAATGCCTTGCAGCCGGATCTCTTAGAGGCATTTTCTTTATTGAGGCTCCTTCCTCTCTGGTGACTCTAGCTTGTATCAAGTTGACACACAAAATCAGCCAGTATAATAATAAAATTTCTCTTTGGTTATGAAGTTATATGTTTATAAGTTTCCTTTATTGAACTTAATGTATCTTCCATGTTTTCTACAATGATCAAATATTCTTTTTTGCTTTTTTCTTTTCTTTCTCTCTTTTTTCTTTTTTTTTTTCAGACAGGGTTTCTCTGTGTAGTCCTGGCTGTCCTGGAACTCACTCTGTAGACCAGGCTGGCCTTGAACATAGAGATCTGCCTGTGTCTGCCTCCTGAGTGCTGGGATTAAAGGTATGTGCCACCACTGCCTGGCAGTGACCAAGTATCCCATGAGAAGAAAGAATACTGATTAGCCCATTTCCAACCAATAACCCACAGGCAACCGTCTGAGTGCTTACCATTACTTTCCTCAAGGTGTATCTTTTGCTCCGAATGTCATCCATGAGCATCTCATAAGGGGTAAGCTGGTATTCAATGGGCAACGGGTTGTACTGCCGCTGTTGGACCTTCTTAAGTTTGACCCCATTTCGCAAATCCCGCATCACCTGTACCCAGAATCGTGCCTGAAAGAACCAAGTATGGATCATTATCAATACATAAATCCACTAGTTTTCTCTGAATGGTTACAGTCAAAGAGAATAAAGGAAAAGCATGGATATAAAACAAGTAAAGGAAACAATTTAGATTTTAGGATACCATTAAATGTGTAGGAAGTCAGCATTAGAAGACAAACGTCCCTTTGGTAGTTTGAATGTAACTGATCCTCATAACCTCATAGGCAGTGGCTTTATTAGGAGGTGTGGCTTTGTTGGAGTGGGTATGACCTTGCTGGAGGAAGTGTGTCACTGTGGGGGTGGGTTTTGAGGTCTCTTACTTAAGCTTCGCTCGGTATAACTTTAACTTCCTGTTGCCTGCAAGATGCAGAACTCTCAGTTATTCCTCCAGCACCACCTCTGCCTGCAAGCTCCCCACCATGATGATGGTGGACTGAACCTCTGAAACTATAAGCGAGCCACCCCAATTAAATGTTTTCCTTTATAAGAGTTGCCGTGGTCATGGAGTCTCTTCACAACCATAAATGTCCATAAAGACAGTCTCCATTACTATTCTGCTTCCTGAAAGCACTGGATTCCCCACACCCTGACGTGGGGTCTGGCCATACGACGGTGTGGTCAGTGGAGAGTGAGAGGACACTAAAGACTTCAGCTTCTGTACCAGCAGCTGCTTTGCCTTCCTAGGTGTGTCTCACCAACAGGAAATAAATAGTGAAGAACTGACATCTTGTGTTTTATAAATATGAAATGCTCAGAATTACAATTTTATATTATCTAGTACACATCCTGTAATCAGTTTTCCTATCTACAAATAATAAGATGCTCTGTCCACCTTCAAGAGTTCTAATAAGATGAAATTTACATCAAATACTTAGTATAACAAATACTAAAATGTGTATTGTTCCTTAACCGCTTTGTTCTCTTGTCTTATCAGCAAAAAGTTAAACAATACAGTATTTAAAATGTAACTTACCACAATTAATGTGTCTTCAATAGCTATCTAAAAATGTTTATTATAAGTCATAAGAATTTTCCACATTCAGGTATACAGTTCACTGATAGAGGAAGTGGTTTGTATGTATGAATTTCTGAATTCTAACTGCAACACCAAACCACTTTCTCTATATAAAATAAATGATTACATTTCTCAAAATCATTTTTCATTTATAATATATTAATACACTTTGTCACTCTCTTCTGAGGCTGCAACTCAGATTATCAGGCTGGGCATCAAGTACCTTTGCCCACTGAGCCTCTGCTGGTCTGCCTCTAAAGATGTTCAGTTCTCCACCCCTTCTTCCTCCTCTCACTCTCATCTTTCTAGATGGTTCACCTGAGCGATACTGGAAGATGAGGTGTAATCTAGCAGAAGGAACTCCCCTTGAAGTTTGTGAAGTTCTGGTCACTGAATGCTTCAGTTTGGATTATTATTTTAATTATTATTTTTCAAAACTTAGTGACTTACTACTGTTATTATTAGGTGTGACGTATATACATGGGTGTGCAACCCCACGGAGCATATGGAAGTCAGAAGACAACTCTGTACAGTCAGCCCTCTCCTTCCACCTTTTCTTCTCTAATTAAAGAATGTACATTTATTTATGTATTTTGTATGAACATGTGTGTATGTATGTGAGCATCTGTGTGCCGTGCCATGCCTGTGGAGGTCAGATGACAACTTCCAGGAGTCAGTTCTCTCCTTCCACTGTGTGGGTTCTGTAGATCAAACAGGCTTGGAGGCAAGTCTTTTATCCACTGAGCCGTAACACCTGCCCCACAGTAGTTTTTGTTTACTTTTGAGTCAGGCTCTCACCATGTAGACTTGGTTGGCCTGAAACGTGCTATGAAGCCCAAGAGCTAGTCTTGAACTCATAGCAATCGACCTGCTTCTGCCCTCTGAGTGCTGGGATTAAAGGCATATGCCACCACACCCAGCTATTGCTAATCTCTACACACACACACACACACACACACACACACACACACACCAAGTCCCCTTCCTACCCCACCATAAACCACATCACAAGCAGTCAAGCTGGTCTAGAATTTGCTAAGTAGTAAAAGATGACTTTGAATTCCATGGAGGTCTGTCTCTATTTCCCAAGCACTGGATTACAGGTGTGTACTACCATTCCTGGTTTTGTTTGCTGGCTTTAGAATATTTGAAGTTACTTGTCTGACTTCAATGAATGAGGAAGACTACAGAAATATTATGTTACAAATACTTTTCATGCCATGTGGTGCACGCCTTTAATTTCAGCTTCAGCACTAGGGAGGCAGAGGCAGGCGGATCTCCAGATCTCCACGAGTTCAAGGCCAGCCTGGTCTACAGAGTGAGTACTACGATAGCCAGAGCTACAAAGAGAAACCCTGTCTTGAAAAAACAAACAAAAAAAAACCCTCATTAATAGCAAATGTATAGTATATCTCTTACATACTGCCACAGTATTCTTTTTTTTTTTACCTAATGTATTTATTTATTTATTTATTTTATTTTTTTGTTTTTCGAGACAGGGTTTCTCTGTGGCTTTGGAGCCTGTCCTGGAACTAGCTCTGTAGACCAGGCTGGTCTCGAACTCACAGAGATCTGCCTGCCTCTGCCTCCCGAGTGCTGGGATTAAAGGCGTGCACCACCATCGCCCGGCCTGCCACAGTATTCTATACAAAAGAAAACAGACGATCAATATTACTCTAAAATGATAGACTAGCTTTTTTTTAAAGATGGGGTTTCCCTGTGTAGCTCTGGCTGTCCTGGACTCACAGAGATTCACCTGCATTTGCTCCTCAGTGCTGGGAACACCACCACGTCTGCTAAAACTAGCTTTTAAGACAATGTGTGGGGTAGAGAAAAGGCACAGCAGTTAGGAGTGTACACTGTTCTGAGTTTAGGTCCTAGCACCTGTATCAGCTGGCCCACGCCTTTAATCCCAGCACTCGGGAGGTAGAAGCAGGTGGATCTCTGTGAGTTTAAAGCCAGCCTGGTCTACAATAGCAAGTTCCAGGACAGGCTCCAAAGTTACACAGAAACGCTGTCTCGAAAAATCAAAACAAAACAAAATTAAAAAAAAAAAAAGGACTATGGCAAACAAAAACTAATATGGTCAAGGGAACTTATTGAAGTTCTCAAATCTGCATCTATTTTAAAAGCTCTTTCACTTAATAATAGCATTTCTATCCCTTTAAAAAAGATTTTAATTTTATTTATGTGTGTGTGAACCTGAGTAAGTTTAAGTGCACTGTGTGTATAGGAGCTCTCAAAGCCACACAACATCTGATCTGGAACTGGAGTTGGCTGTGAGCTGCCCAGCTATGCTGGGAACTGAACTGTCCTCTGAAAAGCAGTAACTGATTTCAACTGCTGACCCATCTCTCCAGCCCCTGACTCACTACCTTTAATCTCAAAAGTCAGAATCCTAATGTGTGCCTCCCTTGATATCTGGAAATGCTTTACTTAGCACTTCCAGACATCTACTGTCCTGTGCCCAAGACCTAAGCGCAGGGACTCAGTACCAACAGGACTTAGCAGGGTGCCTGAAAAGGAGTGGATAGTCAAGTGTGTCATCTGGAAACACCATAATCACCTGTTCTAGAAAGTATCTCCTAAGTCCAGATTGTGTTATGAAAGGCAGAGACTCCATAGGTCTGCATCCATAGGTCTCTCACCCAGTAAACGTTCACTGGATAAAAACTGCATCGCACTGCTAGTCTCACATCCTGACACAGAGCTTCTGTTTTGAGTACAAAAGTGTTATTTATGGTATTTGTAATTATAAATATTAATAACAGTATTTCCAGACACAATGGGACAGCTCTTTCAAAATTTAATGAAAATATTTATTCACTTTTAAAATCAAGCATTCAGGGGCTGGAGAGATGGCTCAGAGGTTAAGAGCATTGCCTGCTCTACCAAAGGTCCTGAGTTCAGTTCCCAGCAACCACATGGTGGCTCACAACCATCTGTAATGGGGTCTGGTGCCCTCTTCTGGCCAGCAGGCATACACACAGACAGAATATTGTATACATAATAAATAAATAAATATTTAACAAAAAAAATAAAATCAAGCATTCAAATTTATGTACTAATTTATAATTCAGTCCTTAATAACCAGCACTTAAAAAAAAAACCAGTATTTTTCAAAGCTAAACTGACCAGAAAGCATACCCAATTTCCTTACCCAGTCTGCATTTTTCAGGTCCTCCAGATCTGTGCTAGATTCATCAGTCTTTTCCATTTCTTGAATCTTCTTAAGATTCTAGCGGTTAAAATAAAATTTAAAAAATCAATCATAAAAATTATATTAAGCTTTCTTATAAGCAAATTACAACTCTAAAAGTTCTCTTCAGAGAAAATGTAGACAGACGTATCAATGAAGAAGACAGTTCATTAAATCTCAAGGATAATTATTTCCTTTTTTTCTTTAATTTAATTTTTTTTTTTAACTTACACTCTCTTCTTGACTACTAAAACTCTTCCTAAAAACAGCTCTGCATTTTACCAGCTAGGGAAGCAGTCTCCAGCCTGGCCATTCCACACTGCCTCTCTTCCACTGCCCACTCCTTTTCTGCAGACATCAGTTCAACTGAAACTACTAGTTCTTCACACAGAACTTCCTTTCTTCCCTTTTATTACAAAACCTCTTTTCATCTATGGGCTCTTAGCTTCACGTTAGGTTCACACCTGTCTGCGGCTCCCCCTAGGCTTCCTGAGGCAGAGTTAAGAACTTTGGAACTAGCCGGGCGGTGGTGGCGCACGCCTTTAATCCCAGCACTTGGGAGGCAGAGGCAGGCGGACCCCTGTGAGTTCGAGACCAGCCTGGTCTACAAGAGCTAGTTCCAGGACAGTCTCCAAAACCACAGAGAAACCCTGTCTCGAAAAACCAAAAAAAAAAAACCAAAAAAAAAAAAAAAAAAAAAAAAAAAGAACTTTGGAACTTTGGGATGCTTGGCATGCATTTGTGATGGTTAATCTTGATTGTCAGCTTGATAGGATTTAGAATCACCATGGAAATAAATCTCTGGATGTGTCTTAGAGTGATTTTTAAAAATTGGGTTAATTGAGGTGGAAAGACCCAATTTAAATGTGGATGATACCATTCTACACGCTGGTGATGGAAACTGAATAAAAGCGAGAGAAGCAGCATTCCCATCGCTGCTTCCTGGGGATGACACGTAAACAGCTCTGCCTCATGCTCCTGCTGCCGTGCCTCCCTGCCGGCCAACACACACCACACACCCTTAAACGCTGAGTAGAAACAGTCTCTCTCTCTATTTATTTATTTTTTTTGGTCAGGTATTTTGCCCAGTGACAAGAAAAGCAACTAATACAATATTTATCAAGTAATTTATTTATAAACTTCAATTGATAAAAATGCCTTTTAAATAGCATCAACTCAACACTGGCAACTTGTAAGAGAATACTGATTAATAAAACATATATATAGGAGAGTGAGATGGCTCCATAGATTAAGGCACCTGCCACCAAGCCCAATGACCTGAGTTAGATTTCTAGGACCCACAGGATCCTAGAAAGAGAGAACTTACTTTTGCAAGTTGTCCTCAGACCTCCGCACAAATGAAATGCACATATATGTGTGCATGCATGCACAGGCACATGCACACACAGTCACACACACAAATAAATGCAATAAAAATTTTGAAAAGCATTATTTACAAATTAATTATAAACACACTGTATTCCATACCTGCTAACAGCAAAATTCAACTTTAATAAATGTTATTATTTGCCTGTTTGCCAACAGACTGAATTTAAATGTACTATATGAAATCTAGCTTGTTCTACATGACATTATAAACAAAACATTTTTAGCTTCCTAACATTTCATACTATCCATGTGCAAAACAAAGATAACACCACCAGCTTTTTTAAAATACTCAATAAAGAAACATTAATGCAGGAAAAAAGATGACTCTGAACACTGGAAATGTGATACAAATAATGCATTCTTTCTTCTATTTTAGGGGAAAACAGAAGAAAAAAACAACTTATTTCTAGTTACTTCAGAATGTGCTTACACAATCTTCTTTAAAAGTCAGGAGTCCTCTACCATATATTGTATGGTATAATGAAATGTGATTTTTTTTTTATATTTAGGAAGTATAGGGAATTATGCTTAGGTCTCTTTTCTGTGCCCAGTAGTGTGTCAATAATTTAATGTGTCACTTCCTTTAATACTTACTTACAGTAGAGGAGTGGGTAGTGATACTTCCATTTCATAGGTGAACAGAAGACCCAGATTGGGTAACTTTGACAAAGCCACAATCCTGAAGAATGGCATGTGTCTTATTTCAGCATCTCAGAAGGACTCCTGACTATTTTTAAAAAGCTGGTGGTGTTATTCTATAAATAAATTAAGACACCTTATATCATATATTAGTGGTTAAATTTCTTTCTTTCTTTCTTTCTTTCTTTTTTTTTTTTTTGTTTTTTTTTTTTTTTGTTTTTCGAGACAGGGTTTCTCTGTGGCTTTGGAGCCTGTCCTGGAACTAGCTCTGTTTACCAGGTTGGTACAACTTAAATGATAGACAATGAGGAACCCTGGTTTTGTAATAATAAGTAGAACTTGACCCTTATCAGTCCCAGTTCCTCTATAAAGTGGATTAGGGTAGATTTTGGTTGTCTTATCACTGAATGCTTCTCACTTACTAGCTGTCATGATTATTGTTCTAGGCCTCTACTCTGGGCCGTACCAGTAGACAAACACCTTAGGAAAGATCCAGGTTTCAGATAAGTGTAAAGATCTAGAGCTCAGCACAGAAAAACTCATCTGTAGGCTTGAGAAATTGCTTCTCTGAAAAGGCTACAAATGCAGAAATTGAGTATTTTGTTAAAAGGAACATTCACGAATACTTAAGAATACTAATAACACACAAGGAAAAAGAATAAAATTTACGATCTAACTGGTCTTTGCAAAAAAATGTCATGACCTTACATCAAAATCTGAACAGGAATTATTATTACAAAACCAGGGTTCCTCATTGTCATTTAAGATGTACCAACCTGGTAAACAGTATTTATAACATTCAATATTCAAAATCCCTGCGGGTTTTTTTTTTTTTGTGCTAGAAGTTAGATATTTAAAAAAAAAAAAACCTCTGATGATTCAAAACTATAGTCTGAAGTGCACACTCTCCATGAAGTATGAAGTATCAGAATCACAGCTGAGTGGTGAGGAACCACACACAGGCAGAAACACTTACTGGGTTTCCCAGATGTTATTGAAGGTCTACGCAAAAAGGATTTAATGCCTGAGAGTATATACTATTCTATTGATTGAAAGAGTCTTCCGGGTTCTTAAATTACAATGGTAGAAGAAAATGGGTTGAGGAGAAGAACTGCTTCTGGGCAGCCTGGGACCACAGCTTCCAGACTAAGAGTCTAGGGAAACAGCACTGACCAGCCCACAGAGCTGGAAGGAGCCCAATTCCTGCTGTTCCAGGCCATTCCAGATTTGCAGCACTGCTCTGAGGGCTCCCTCTGTGTCCAATGCTCACCTCTGATAGATCTTTCTCAGTGGGCCACCCTGACCACACCCTAAGCCCAGCCCCTCACCTCTAGCACTTAACCTAATCTACACTGTTTCCAAAGAGCACCCTGACCTTAAAAGTCTCTAGGATAGACTGGGGTTTGTATTCTGTTCACCTCCTATAATAAGAGCAGCATTTTTAAAGGTTTATTTTATTCAGTACTAGGATTCTCAAATATGTAGAACAGTGCTTTGTACAAGGCTGGCACGTAGTAATTATTCTATAAATAAAGACACTTTATATCATATATTAGTGGTTAAATTGCTTTCTTTCTTTCTTTTTTATTTATTTTTATTTTTTTTATTTTTTATTTTATTTTTTTTTTGGTTTTTCAAGACAGGGTTTCTCTGTGGCTTTGGAGCCTGTCCTGGAACTAGCTCTGTAGACCAGGCTGGTCTCGAACTCACAGAGATCCGCCTGCCTCTGCCTCCCGAGTGCTGGGGTTAACGGCGTGCGCCACCATAGCCCAGCAGTGTTTAAATTTCTTTACAGTCTTAAATAAGTCAACTTTAACCAGAGCAAATTCAATCTGAGAAAAGAATTATTCAGAGGAAATCTCCAGCCTTGAAATTCAAATTCCTAAGGGAGAGTTAGGGGTAGAGATATATGTGCCTGTTCAGGAAAATATTTAACTTGAGTTCATACTATGTACAAGTGTTACATCCAGCCAAATAGATAACAAATAATTAAAAAGAAATTTATTTCTAAGACCTGTAGAAGAATGAAGTAATTATGTCAGCAGCACATGAGGCCAGCTGGCTCAAGGGCAAACTTGCATGTGACTGCACCTTCACAGTGTCTTTTCCTTTGTTTCAGCTAAAGACTTACTGAAAAAAGGTAAGTGTGCCCATAAGAGTTCCTGTCTAGAAGTGTTATGGTCACCACTTACTTTAACTTGATATGTATGTGCCTCATGACTCTGAACTGCACAAGCCCAGGGATGTATCCACCATGTTCCCTTCTTAAACGTAGTAGGCCTGCAACTGTGCTCACCCCAGTGATTTTGTATGTAAGTATATGCAGGCTTCCTTTGTCTGAAAGGCACTCGCTGCTTCTGGAACAACTTCAGTACTCTCCTGGCCAGTTGCAGGTAATAAACCTCCCTCTATTCTTTGACCTTCTAGTTGTGCTTATTGACTTTGCAGTCTCCAAGGAAAGAACCCATAGTTTGGTTATAATTACAATACTTATCATGTCAGCAAGATTCAACCACCATCAAAATGGACTGGCTTGACATCTCAGTGCTTTAGAAAAATCACCAGGTATTGGTGGTCTGATGTTCTAACCAATACCCCTTTGCTCACACATAACTGAGAGTTCAGTATGGGGCTGCTCTCAGGTCCAATAGGAACCAAGTTTTTTTCTATCATGTTCTTCTTGTCATTTAAAGGCTCCCACAGCAAGCACTACAGTTTAATTATAAACTAAAACGTAACAAAATTCAGGAGGTGGAGCAGAGCAAAATGATGGATTATATAGATGCAGTGGAGGCCTAGCAACTGAAAGTCATGATTTAATATGCTCACATAATTCCAGAAATATCAACTTCTATGACTTTTAGTCATATGGTGGAATGGCATGAGAAGCAATAATTAGATATATTTACTCTAAACTCTATTGCTGGAAAGTCTGCCATGGCTCAATCTCTACCCTCTCTCTGACTAAATATAGGTCTTTACACTCCTTGTCTTTACTTCATTGGGATCAA